CGAGCAAAGCTTTTTAAACGGGAGACAGACGAACGCTCGGACAGACACCACGGTTCGCAATATATATATATATATATATATATAATCATTTATATTTTTTTAATCTTAATAAATAACTTTGCAATTGGCCTTCTCTTTTTTATTTTTTTTCATATGAGCATAATCACGTTTTCTAAGCTTAGTTGGGTCAAATACTAATGTAAGTACTTTACTTACCGTATCTTCTCTATTCAAAATAACTGCGCCTTTTTGTTTTGTTTTTAGTTTACTATAAGACAGACAGAGCTGCACAAAAAGAACTTTGAAATAATATTTGACTGCAACAATAAGCAATATTCATTAATTTAAGTAATACAACAAACTGGAATGTTGCAACGCCCAGTAAATATCCCATTTCGTTTAAGATTATCAACTTGAGAGGTAAGGGTGGGGACTTCACAGATTCAAATTCTTACGTCTTCTGAACACCCACCCGATAATCAAAGAGTTAAACATTATTTAGAGAATAATCGTTATCGACATTGTTTTATTACAGTATATTTACGTTTATCAAGAAACAGAACACCTTTACTTAGGTTGTTAGTATATATAGAATATTTCGTCTTCGCTAGTTTTTCAGATGCAAAGATTTTTTTAACAGGTCTCTTTTATAAATGCTTCGAAATTTCTTTTCCTAGGTTTAGACAGAGTAATAGAATGTATTGATTCGGGCCAACTGGACATGAAGGCAGCTTTAAAAGCACGAAAAGAAACCCTGGAAGAAGCTCTGAGGCATAAAACAGACGAGTTAAAACTATTATGCATCAAAGAAGCGGTAAAATCATTCTTCAATCTTATGATAGAAGTTAAAAAATATATCAGTGCGTAACGACATCTAACAAAATCCCCTAAATTCATTGACGAGTCACCCAACAGGTATCATTCTTAGTTGAATGTTCTAAGGTCATATTTTCCAGTTAGTTTATTTGGTTCATGTTTTCTTGTAATCTAAAATAATCTATTTTTGTTTACTATAATGTTAGTGTATAGTGTAAGTAACGATAGTAATTCTTTGAATAAATTAAAATGAATCGAGCCAAATACCCTTTTTGTGAGTGGAAATTTACATTTCGTTATATCTAGGTAATAAAGTAGAGCCTTGATTATTTTAATTAGGTTTTCATATTCAGAGCACAGTTATTCTACAGTGACTAAATTTGAGAAAAGGCTTCACTTAAAACCAAAATTTTAAACATACATTTGCAAATTGATAATATGATTATTCAAAATAAATGGTGAATTGTGTTAATTTGGCAGGAACTGACGGGCGAAGTTCCTCTTGATATTCCATTGGCACCCGGTGAAGCGCCTCCTAGCGTGAGAAGACGTGTTGGAACGTCGTTTGCTTTAAATGATAAATTGTTTCACAAGGCCCGATCAAAAAAGGTGAGTTTTCAGGACTTTAATATATTTTATTATACTCCTGTGTGTGTTATATATAAAAGTTCGAAGATAAAGTTCCAAAGAAGAATAAAGTATATTAAGAAGAAGCAGAATTCATATGACGATAAAATATGAAATTCGAAAGTCTGAAGGCTTTTAACGCTAAAAGTCAGAACGGCATAGATAGCCCATTGTATAGATTTGTGGTTAACAATAAAACAAACAAATAAGAAATACGAAATATATATATATATAAAAACTGAGGAAGAGAATTGTAGTTAAACTTTTGGTCACGAGACTATATTGGTTCTATAAAGATAGTTTGGTCGAAACGTTGCCAACATTTTGTTTTTATAGCTTTTAAAAATAATTTTGTGTTTGTTATGAAATCTTTGTTATAGTAAAATGTGTTTAGAACTTAAATATAAAATGGGGAAAACTACTTTCTAAAGTAAGAATTAGCAAAAATATGTTGTAAAAGTTCCAAAATATGTGACCTTCAAAGAGTATAATAAAACAATATGACATCGTAACCTTTGTAAACCATACAATTTACGAATACAAAAGCAAACAGCTATGAAGTTAGATTTTGCGAAAAAAAAAGAGTAGTTATAATAGATAAAACTGTAGGGGATTTTAATAATGGTTGGAGACGGCTTGAATGGGTAATGAAGAAAAACATGTTCGCCCTTTCAGCCATGGGGGCGTTATAATGTGACGGTGAATCCCACTATTTGTTGGTAGATAAGTAGCCCAAGAGTTGGCGGTGGGTGGTGCCTTCCCTCTAGTTTTATACTGCTAAATTAGGGACGGCTAGCGCAGATAGACCTCGTGTAGATTTGCGTGAAATTCAACAAACAAACAGAAATCTTGTCGGATGTAATTATGTGATAAATATTTTCTGCTTCAGATGAGAATGAACAATGTTCACTTCTGATACTGAAAATAAATCTTGAAATGTGATAGATTTTCTATTTTAAATTAATTTTAACTGGTATTTATTTGAAGATATATTTTCATATTACTTAAAAAATACGCTCTTTTAATTTATCAACTCATACTGCATTTCTTATTCGTTGTACAATAGTTTACTCCTTGTTACGTTGGATACTAGATGCAGATAGCACAGTCTTGACGTTTACATAATGTCGTATATTTTAGTGATTTATTTCTCGCCTTTTCTTTATCAGGAGGAAGCCTTAACGAAAGTAGAGTTGGAATACGAAATACAAAGTAAAATCGCAAGCGCCGCATTAAAACTTGCCAGCGACACAACAGTTAAAAGAAACGTGAGAAAACAGAGGAAAACAGCACATCAACGGGCTGTAATCAAGGTTTGTAGTCTTATCACGATTTGGAAATTTATGTAAAACTGCTTTTGTTGTGTTAGCATAACTTCCTACAGTGTAGACTGAAGTTAGTGAACGAATTAATTATGCAAAAAAAAAAGAATCACTAAAGCATTAACTCACTAATCATGTAAATGAAGCATAAGATAGCGCAGACTGTTCCGAAACGTTTCGGATATTCACGCAGAGGTACACATGGGCTATCTACATTAGCCGTACATAATTTTGAACTGATGGACTAGAGGAAAGGTAGCTAGTCGATAGCATCAATAGCACTCATCGTTAACTTTAGGGCTACTCTAATGAAATAGTGAGCTTATAACACTCCACGGTCCCAAAGTACGGTGGGATATAAACCATGGACCCACAGTCCAGCTCGTCAACAACCAGCTGTTAGAAAACAGGAATAATAATATTTACAATCATATGTGTCTTAGTTATGTATCGTTTTGATTTTCTATTGTTTATATTTTCAGAATATAAATTTATTAATTTTGTGCAATAATTACTCAGACTATTTGCAAAAAAAAAAAAATTCAACAATTTAAATGTACATAAAATAACAACGAATAATAAGGTAAATATGATACTGAATAACTCACGGAATAATGAAATAACTCTGAAAATAAAATTGATAATAAAACAAAGAGTTTCCCGGTGGGTCAGCGGTAAGATTCTGGACTTACAAAGCTAGATTCTGGGTTTGATTCCCTGCGGTTGATACAGTAGATAACACGTTGTGTAGCTTTGTGCTAAAAGCAAAGGAGAAAGGTAACGAAGCATACATGAAAAGCAATGAGACAAATGAGCGTTACAGTAAACAAAATAATAAAATGATGAAGTTTAAAAACATAGTTATTTTCTTCATTTTCTAAAGCTCAAAGACTTGGAACAAAAGTTAGCTACATTAAAGAAACAAACGGAAATTATAAAAGCAAAGCAGAGAAAACAGTCATCTGATGGAGGTAAGTGTGTTAATTGATTAAAAGATAATAAAAGAGCTATGCTACATGTAACCTCTTATAAATTGAGTTAAGTTTCCTACAACACCTTAAAAACAAAAGTTAGGGTAAATGTTTTATAGCCCTTTAAAAACTGGATGTTTTTCCCAATAATTTAAGTTGGTCTGAGACTTAACTAAAACTTTTAATTTAAATAACACTGGGATATAAAGAATATATCGACGGACTTTAAAAACAAAACACGTTATTTCAGTGGATTTCTCCCACTTCCCAAATAAAGCAGTATTTAGACTTTTAGTTATATTAATCCCTTTTGCTTCTAAGGATTCCCTTTGGATGAGTAAATCGGCTGGTAATCTGTAAATAAAATCACTGAATTATCGATTCAGTGATGAAAAGGTTCACCTTTTTGGTTCAATAGCATTTAGGAGTAGTATTCTGTTATATAGCAATGAGTGTGACAATGTTGGTTTACTTCTGAAATGTGATGTATATATTTTTGACTGCAGGAAATTGGAGTAATGTCTCCAGTTCTGCTAATTAGAACGAATTAGAACTAAAATGAAATACGTAATTGAACCTTATCTTTTTTACTGAGCGCTCAGAAATGAGAAAAACCAGAATATATTTCATACGAGTTTGAGTTTCTACAAGTTTTGTATTTTAGATCATACTTTATTTTTCTGTATAAAGAAAAATATATTCCTATTTATAATTAACTCAATTATTTTTCTAGAACAAAGTAGAAACAATCACACCCATTCTGAAGATGAAAAAGGTATGATTTTAATCTTTTTTTTTGTTCATATTTTTACTGTTATTATGGTGACATAAAACTTGTTAGTTAAAATTCTGCAAGTCTTTAACTTAAAGAACTTAATATGCTTTGCTTTTAAACACGTGGTTAGTAAGGCAGATATCTATAGGCTAGACTAAATCTGGAACAGGTGATATGTCAGTAAGAATTAATTTGGTATCTATTTTATGATTAAAGACAAACTTTTTAGTTTTTAAAATTTATAGTAGCTGGATTATATACATTTAATTTTTTCAAAATGTAAATTTAAGAGCTTCCATAATCCTGTAAGTAATATGATTAGTCTCCAGGTGGGACAGCGGTAAGTTTACGGTCTTGAACGCTGAATGTCGGGGTTCGATTCCACACGCTGGACACAGCAAATAGTCCAGTGTGCCTTTGCTCTACGAAAACAAACAAGCAATGTTATTAGCCAACAGCTCAAAGTTCTTAAATGCCATCAATCACTATACAATTATTGAGTGGTTATCATAGGTTACCTGATGAGTGAGAGTTGCCAGAATTTGTTTGTCGGCGGAGGGAAACAGGCACCGACCACTCTATCTCCTGATGACCAACAAATGATTTGTTGCCCGAAATCACTAGTCAGTACTTGTTTCATTGTATCCTTATCATGAAATTTTCGCCACCACAATTCAACGCTGTAATTTCAACTCGTAGGCCTATTCGTTTATACATGTCACTACCAGTAACATTATTATAAAGGGCAAATGATTATAATATCTATATAAGAAATCATTAATTTAATCAATGATTTGAGTACACTAATTCATTAACTATAAAACTAAATATCAGACCGAAAAAAGGGATTGTACCTTCAATTGCTTACAAATTACGATAAACGTATAAAATATGCATATGTTTAATTTCAGCATAAACTTTGCCTAGAATGCTGGCGAGATTTCCGGCGTTGTCAGCCACAGTCACTTCCCGTTCAGTGAAGTATTTCGTGAATACTTTTACAACTCCTTCATTTGTTTTTCTATTACTCTTACCAACCTTTCTTGCAACCTGACTCAAAAGCTCCTTATCTGCGAGTAACTGAAATCTCGAGAGTCTGCAACTCATTATCTGTAAATAACTGAAATCTTATGCCATCAAATATGTCGCATCAATTTACGTGTTTGAGTAAATTGAATGTTATTAGGTCTAAATATATCAATGTATTTTCACTGTGCTGCTCAGAGTGTCGTCTGCAAAACTTATTCTGTGACGTTTCGCATGCATAGCAACGACCTTGACAACGGGGGGGGGCAACAGTTATACAATTTGTTGACTGGTTTTTGAAGGCAACAGTTCAAAATTTTCATACCACGTGGTGCGCTCTAGGCCAGTCACGGCGAATATTTCATGGTAGAGATAGAATAAAAATATAGTATCAATCTTTATGTTGTTGTAAGGTTTATATTTCATTGGAGGCTTCTTTGAAAATATCTGGAGAAAAATAGTTCAACATACAGTCCACATAACAATCACAAACTAGTTTGTTTACTTCTTTAACGTTTCTGCAAGCTTAAAGAATTGCACACTCTCGTAAGATATAAGGCTATATTACAAATTATATTAACTTTATGTAAAAAATAATTTTAACTGTAGTTGTGCAACGTAACTCAACACACACAATAACAAACTCAGATCCAAATACTTTTCAAAACACATTGATCGATTCAACCTTATATCTTGAAATAACTTACATATTTCACAAATGTCTCGTAAATTTAATCTACTTTCGAATATGCTAGAATTTAGAAAACTTTTGTCACCTTTTATTCTGAAGCCATCATTAAAACCTGCTAGCTCTCTAGCTAACATTTAAATTACAAGATTAAAAATAAAGCTCATAATAATATGAATATTCAACAGGTGAAAGAAACCTTTTGAAGGAAGATAATGATCTGTATGATGCTAGTTCTCAACAGATAACCAGAAGTAATGGAAAGAAGAGCAGGGAATTGCTAAACAAGGATGTTCTAGTGAGTACCTAAATTTGCAGGACCAGTACTTTCATTTTCTGTATCTTGTATAAGAATTGTGTGAATATGTGTGTAACGTTAAAGTTTACATGAAGGATGGCATGCTCAGTCTTGGTTGATATTTTGACAAGCTATACATTGACATTTAGGATTGCTGTGACTTCATCTTCTTCAGTCATCCATCTCATGTAAAAAGGCACTGAGTTTAAGGTGTGTTTTGATGCTTGTAAATATTCGGTTTGTGCTAATGATACTAGGAGATATGCCTAACTTCATCTTAATAAACTTTTTGGGCTAGAAGTTTCTTTTTGTAGTCACAGCCTCCACTCTACAGATGAAGGTATTGCTCTATTTCAGATTTGAATGTGGCTTTGTATCTCATTACTGCCCCTTAAGCCACTGCTGTGTGGGTTTTTTTTCCACTTCCGTTGAGAACATTGGTTCACTTCTTCAAAATGTTGAATTTTTTACCTACACCATTTAACGGTTTGGATGTGTTAAGATTTTTCTTTTATAAACTTTTTATATTCCTTCAGTCAAAAGCATTTTTGACAGAATTGCAGTGTTAAATGGTTGGGAATTTGTCATGAACCAAATATGTAGGTGCTAAATATGACATACATATGTATGATACTGTTACGACAGCGGAATTCAGGTGACGCTGGTAACACGTAATGAGTATCTAGAACGTTCGTGAAGGCTCGAGTGTTTGTCACACGCCCTCTATTTTGTATATATATGACCGGCAAGAAGTGACGAGGGAGAATAATTGCAGACAGAGAATCGAACCAAGCCGTAAGTAAAGTGCGTGAATCGTTGTGAATTCTAGCGTGTGTTTAAGTTGAAGTGACTGTGGAAATTAAGTGTATTGCAAAGTTGTATTGAGAAAGAATAAACTAGTTTTATTTAAGAAAGGACTTGTATCGCTGACGTTTTTTCGGAAGGAATTTTTACGGGAAATTAACAAACAAATAAATAACAACTGCATTGCACTAGAATATAAAAATAGTTTTTACGAAATGCATTTAACCCTCTGTTTTTATTATAAGTATTGTTCAAGAAAACCAAATGTTTTAATTTAATATGTTTGTATTGTACACATACAAGGACTTCCATTTAAAACAAAAAAGTACTGATCTTTTATGATTCATTGTCTCCTTACTTGGCTCTATAGTGACCAAGACAGATGAATCTCTTTCAAAACCATCATACAGATTTGGTGATTAGATTAGAAAGTAATTTTTAACCTGATGAGGATATTGGATGTTAACTATAACTCATTATACATTTCTAGAAAAGTCAATATTTGTTAAATGATGCCTTTAGATGCCTTGCAAATTAATGGCATTGAAAAGAACCGACTATATGTATTTTGTTTTTCAGGTTTCCAAAAATTCATCAACACCAAGTTCTTCTTCATTTTCCTTTCGGCAGTTTTTGTCTTCACTTGCCATGCCAATGAGTCCTTGTTCTGCACCATCAAGTCCAATCAAGCATCGCCAGCCTTCTCAGGAAAGAAGGCGGTTTAGCATGTCCTTACCAAGAAGTCCCTTTCAAACAGCAAGCTTAAGCATTAGAAGATTATCAGCTCAACCTTTTACTGAGCAAAACTATAAAGCTAATGCACTAAATCAACTGAAAATTTGCTCAGTTACTCAACAGCTCACCAAGATATGTAGTTCAGGACCTCAGTCAACATGCTCAGCCTGTTCTGATTATGAGACAATCAGTTCTGAAGGTGGAAGTGCTCTATCTCTTCGAACAAGCCATATTTGCCCCAGGTACTATGTTTTTTCTTTTACTCAACTGATTATGTTCATATACTCAGTTTTAATGGAAATTAGTACAAATTGAAGTTCATTGTAACACACATTGAAAATACACACACACACACACATATATATATATCTGTATATGTATGTATAATATGTGTCCATACCGCTGCAAAGCCAGTAAATGGTTTAAGATTTGAAATGTAACTAATAATTCTCAATATGGTTTTAGAAGAGTATTTTCTTGCCTTATGTTTTTGTTGCAGTTGTTTAGTAGGATTTCTGTTTTGTATTGGATTACGTAAGAGAACCACATTTAATAGTGTGTAACTTGGCTTTCAGAAAGCCTTTGATTTGTAAAGTAAAATATACACCCCCTTAATGTGTAAATGTGCACCAGTACATTCACATTCCAACAAAATGGAGTGCTGTTTTTGGACAATTTTTCAATGGGTGGTCTCCTTGAATGGTGTAATGGATTTGAAAATACAAACTTGAATATTAGGTGCAGTAGGTTTAAGCACTAAAAGCTCAGTTGTTCTTTCTCAATTGTGTAACAGTTGCTTGATGATTTGGTGTGTGTTATTTTCAGCTTTTCTTAAATAGGTACATTGAGTTTGATTTTGGTGGTTGAGGGTCAGGTAACTTTAATGGGTCTAAATGACTTTCTGTTGACTTGTGTTTTATGTTATAAACATTCCTTAGTTGTAGAACTATTTTAATTTTATATCTTGGAGAAGCCAACTATATAAAGTTGAATTTTTAGTAATATTTTTTTTTAAAATATAAAATAGTTGAAACATTATATTGCATTTAAACAGAGTTGGTTGGCCTAATTTCTATCCATTACATTAGTAAATTAAACATTCTTATAATTGATAAGCACTTCTTATAATAACCTGTGTAAGAAGTACAAATATGCTCTTGTGTGTAAATCCCGTGTTCATACATAGTAATAGTGACAATAAAATTCAACTTTTATTATATGGTTATTATTATGAGTTGGAACTTTGTACACATTTTATACATTCTTACATCTTTTTAATGCAGTTTGTGTTTGTGGTGCTATTACATGAATTAATTAGAATAATTTGATTTTGTTCTTTACATGCAGATTTGAGTTACGTGTAGATGCAAAAATGTCTGACTTTTGCAACCAGGACAGTCAGAGAACTAGTCTATCATTAGACAGCCCAAGTGACATCCTGAACTCCTCTTTAAGTAATTGTGATGAACAGAATGATTTGTTCCGTGATAGTTTCTCAGATGATTGTCGGTGTCTTCCAAAACATCCCAATCATGCAAGGTGTTTATCGTTTGATTTTTCTTCCAAGTCCAAAGGTTATGATAAATTCCTTTCTGTTCCCAGAGAAATACAGAAATACCATAAATACTCTGATACTTCCATAAGCAGTATTTCTCAAACCTTTGAAAGCAATGCTGAAGATCAGCTTAATAGATTCTCTAATAAAAACATCTCATCTCCAAACATTCATCCCAATAACTCAGGACATCTCTTCAATAATGGGAATAATAATAACATTAACATAAAAGATCAGCAGCTGCATAAGTATCATGATCATTCAGGAAATGAGGGTTCAGAAACTGTTAAAGGAATTCCAGAAATTGTGTTTCCCTCATCAGAAGAAAATATTACTGTTGTTGACAAAAGTAATACTCATAAACATTTTCAGCATTTTTTGTCAGTAAAACAGAATCGCTCTTATAATGAGGAGACTTCTGACTATAGTTCTGTCCAGAACAATAAAAACTACTCTTCACACAGCAAGAAAACAGAGTCACCTAATTTACTGACTTCTAGTGAAGTAGCAGAACCTATACATGTTGTTAACCCTTCCACATCAAACACAACCCAAAGTAATGAAAACCAGCCATGGAATAGCAAATATTTGTTACACCATGCTTTGAACCAAAGACGTGGCAGTGACATTTACAGCTCTCCAGAATCATCACCAAAGAAAACTCCATTTTCTCCAGGAAACCCATTAAACAGAAGAAAAGGTTCCTTTTCATTTCAAAAGGAATATACTCTTGGAGGAATTAATCGATCAGCTGAAATGAAGTCTTTACTTTCATTTTGGTCATCATTAAATTCATCAGCCAGTCAGCATTCATCATTACCCAGTCATTATTCTTCAAAAAATATGTCACCTAGTCAGAATCAGTCAGAAAATCAAAATGTACCAACCAATCAGCATCCTTCATTAAATACATCATCTAAACAACATTTGTTAGTAAGTTCATCATCAAATTGTTCATCAGTGAATTCCTCAGTCAATCAATGTCTTTCACTAAAATTAGCACCTACTCATTGTTCAGCACTAAATGCATCAACCAATCAGCAAACATCATTAAATTCATCAATCAATCACCATCTATCAGCTAATAAATATTCATCTAAAAATATTTCAAAAAATCAGAATTCGTCTCCAGATGCAACAAGAGGTTGTTATTTTCACAAAGGCAATCAAGTAAGTGCCTCCCTGTCACTAAATAATAGAACACTTAATAACTCTTTTAATCACACTTGCATGTTTAACCATAGTACAATATGTGAAGGTGAGAGAAGTTCATCTACATGTAGGTATAATATTGCATTTAAGAAGCATTCCATTGGAAGAGAGTTTTCCAATTCAGACTTTGAAACAACCAGTACATTAGTTGAAGAGTCCACCAACTCATCTTCAGCTGTGAATTCTAGCAAAAATTGTATATTTCCTCAGATCACTCCTGCTTTTGGTTCTGCTCAAAATGAAATGTTTTTAACTGGAAAACCACCAAATGTCAGTCACATCATAATTTCCCCATGTCTTAAACAAGCCAATCTAAGTGATCAGTCACAAGAAGTATCAGAGGTCAACACACATTCATCAGAAGGAAAAACTACAGGGTAAGTGTAATTTCTTGTTGATTTGTTTATGGACTATATAAGCATTTAAATGGCACTTCAAATTCAAACCAAATGTTTAGCATTCATTATGATGCAAAGATTAACAATGCAGAAGATCTCTATCCTTGCATATTAAATTTCCATGAATTTTATCATATAATTTCAAGCCAGTGATATATTTAACCATTCATATTTTTAGTTTATTAAACCATTTTTTCATCACCATAAAATGATATATGAAGATGAGAGAGGTTCATTCACACATAGATATAATAATAGCCATATAATATTTTAACCAAAACATTATGTTATTGTAATTTATGATAAAAATATATGAAACTGCCACTACATCTGTTCAATTTTGGATACACACAATGAAAATATTACATACCAATATTCCTGTTCTTATCACGTGAAAATAACTTTTGTTTGTTATGTTATTAAGAGTTTTACTTTTCTGCTGAGTTGCCAGTTTACATTTTTTTTTACTTCTTCTGAATTGTGCTTGATGTTCAAGTTGACTTTTATTAACATTCATATAAGATCATCAGTAACAGGTTAACTGCCATAGTCAATTGTGATGTAACTATTTCCAGAAATTAGGCCAAATCTATATCAATCCTGTAGCCACTGGGAACAACTAAAAGCTCTTCTTCATCCTATTCCCTGGTTCTTTAGCACAATATTATGTTGTAGACGTTGTATTACAAACACTAATAGGCATGTATTTGGGAAGATGACTTTGTTGGTTTCTCCACAAAATTCAGGAAGGTTAGGTCCATACCTTACCAGTTCTTTTATACTGATTCTCGGTAGTAAGCAATATTCTGACAAACTCAGAACACCCTCTGACAAACATTTTACACTGCTATGCTATTTTTTTCAGGTGTTATTTAAATTTGCATATTTTGCAGTTAAAGCTCACTAGTTTGCACAGCATAGGAAATTATCATTTAAATGGTGATGTAATTTGAAAGTTTCTAGTTATATGACTTCTTTCTTTATGGTTTTCTTGGCCAGATAATTTTACATACATTTATAAAGATGGACCCTAGAATATTTGGTATCTTGGGATATATTTACTTCCTTTAAACTCTTTTAAGGTCATAAACTTTCTTTGTATCTAGTTTTTCACTGTATTTTCTTGATTGGAGTACTTTTTTTTTCCTTTTGTTTATATCTGTGTGTAACTGCTGAAGTATGCTCTATATTTCTGTTCATACTTTTACTGACTTCTGGTATGTCACTGTTTTTAATCTTCTGTTTGAGATTCTAAATGTTTAAAATTTTGAACTAGCTCTATTATAAGTCTGATTATTATGAACATATTTTACTATGGCTTCAGCTAAGATTTCTCATTCTTCCTTTACTTGGTGGTTATAGTAATTACTTGTTTGATTGTATCACTTAACATTGTTATATCTTCTCCTCTCAACCTGAAACTTTATAAAACCTAGAGGTCTGTATGCAGCTTGCATGTTGAGAAGAACTCTAACTGAGATGTGTGGATTAAAGTTTAGAAAAGTAATTAAATGAGCACTTTTTTCTCTATTGCCTATCAGTTATTTGGCAAAGTATTTATATTTGATATTACTCATGGAAGAACCACCCCACACCAATCATAAGTACAGTGTTGTATCATTTTCCAAATCTGTAAATCTGAATTTGTACCACAATGTTTCTGTGATATGACATGTTTTGTCTGGAAGTAAGAGATACATCATGTCACTGGAAAGTATCATATAGCCACTTCTAGCAACATCTTTCTCTGTGTTATAATGTTGCATTGTAGGTTAAAATAATGTTAAATTCAAGATGTATCACTTGAAACTGAAGGGTTTAAAAAAATGGTCATTTAAGGAAACTGTTATGTAAACTACATTTCCACCCATCATTTTCTAAACATATAGGAAGATAAACAACAATGAATATGTAATAATAATAAATTATAAAGCAGAATACCATATGCAGTGACAGAAATAATAGAAGTGAGATTAAGAAGGTAAAAGTAACATGCTCATAAGTTTACTTTAGGTGAAGATACATCCAAACTTACGTAATGTGTTTAAATATGAGTATTTAGAAAGTTAATATTTTTCCACACATGTGTGACAAATGTTTTTAGGCCAATCACACTTTAGTTTAATGAAAATGGGGGGGGGGGGGATTTCTACCTTAAGCTCTGTCCCAAAAACTTAATCAAAATGTAAAACACTCATACATATGTTTTTTTATTAAGTATGAGAACACTTTTCAATTATTTGAAAATGCAACATGAATATATTAATTTACAGGCTAAACCAGGAGCTAGATACTTGTCCAAAAGTGCAATCGTTTGAGTTTGATGCCTCTACAAGTAGCGGGTCTCTTGCTGAAGATTTTCATCATGAAATGATTGCATGGTATGAAAACCATGAGGGTATGAAGAACACAACGTTTCTTTAAAGTAAGCTTATTAATCATGCTGCATTTCATTAAAAGTTAGTTTTACATTGAATATGATTTGAAAAAAGCTTGTAACCTGAATATTTTGATTTTAATTAATTATATTGTATGATTTTCCTTTGCAGTGGCTATCAGTATTTGATAATAATCCTTTAGGACATACTGAGGAACCTTTCTAATGGTGCATGAATAATTTTTAAATAATATTATTCTGACATATGTATAGTTATATGAAAGCATCTTTTTATTTTTGTAACCTCATACCAGGATTTTCATTTGTGGTCAAGTTACTGCAAGAATTTCAAATGAGGGTACAGTTTAACTATTGCATATATGTACGTAGGACCTTCTTTCATGATTATTAATGAAAAGGTCATGTGCACAGTCAAGTTAAGATAAAAAATGCAGAAAATGTTTCATACATTATTAAGGATAGAAGCACACAATACTTTTCACACAGTAAAATTACATGTAAATTACAGTAGTGACATAGGCACCTAACTTTGTTTAAATGTGTGTGGGGGGGGGGGGGCAAGGAAAGAAGAAATGGCAAAAAAAGAAAGGTGGGGTCATTTTTGGCTAATAATTGTTTCAGCTGAAAAAAGAAAGTAATTTTTTTTATATAAGCTAATGCTCCTAAGGGATAATATTTTTCTTAACTGTTTAATTAATATACTTTCTTATAGATATAGACCATAGGTTTACCCTGTTCATTTAGTAGCATTTAATTTATTTTTATACAATTTTGTTTTTTAGTTTCAGTGCATATCATTTTATCATAGCTTTGCTTAATTTGACATATACAATCCAGTTGTTTGAATGCATAATAATTAAATTCAGTATTATTTTACAAGAGAGAGAGAGAGCAAAGCCACATTGGGATATCTGTTGTGTTTACAATGGCGAATCAGTTAATTTACAAAAACTAACATTATTACAGTGCTATAAGAGAAATCCTCCAACCAAAATTATGCATATATAATTAGGATATTGTCACTTTTAGACTATGTACATCATAAAGGAAAAGTGAACATTACTAAAATGCTTTATTGACTATACTTACAAATAAAATATCGTCATAGAAAATATATTTTTAATCACATCAGTTGCTGCTGTAAAAAATAAGGTTTTTTTTATGCAGAAGAGGGTTCTTTTGTCAAAATGGGTGTGTTTAATAAAATATACCAAAATTTGCTTATTTTTGAAAATTAACTACCTTGGAATTAAACAACTTAAAGGTTTGAGTCTTTCATGTTTTAATATACTGAATAATAACATTGGTGCTGAGCCCACATTACTGAACTCCTCTATGATTAAGACCTTTTCTCATTAGTCCCATGGTAAGTCTGAAGGCTTATAAAGCTAAAACGTGGGTTTTGATATCTACAGCCAGCAAAGGACAGATAGTCCATTGTGTAGCTTCGCACTTACCAAAAAACAATCTTCCCATTAGGTGATACATATTCAAGTAATTAGTGTTTAGTTTAATAGGCTAAATTCATATGTGTAAAGCATATGTAGGGTCTATGGAAATGGGCAATTCAGTTGTAAGGATAATATTTAATTCTAAATCATCCATTGTTATGCTTTCAGGAGGTACAGAGGGGAGTAGATGACTTCATTTTCGGTTAAAGTTTAATACTGAATTAAATTTATATGCATTAAAACAACTAGCCTGCCTTTAATACTTTTAAGTATTTGGCACTTAACATTTGAATGATAAACGCTTGCCATTTGTTTAGTAGGTGAAAGTCCTCTATGGACTTGAATGACACTGAAAAAACAAAGAGTTCCTGTGTGAGTGTTAATTATATCTTTAATTGACAAGAAAACATGTCTTACCAATTTTAACTTTTTAGAATGTTTATATATTTTTGTTAATCTATCTGATTATATAATAATAATATACTAAACTTTGTATAACAGATTCAGCTGATGTATTTTCTACCTCTGGATGCTGAAAGCTTGAGGAATTATGAAATTCACATAATCTCAATGTTAACACTGGGGAAAACAAACTCAATTTGGGGCCATGAAAAATTTTCTAAAATTCTTAAACCTATTCAGTAGGAAGAACAACACAGAAAGTTGTGGAAGAACACCTAGTCTAAAGTTTTACTTGTAAAATTTTTTCAGAGAATAATATATAATTGTATTCATGTAAAATTATTGAATCTTGTAGTTTTCTGAGAGCCTAATATATTTTCTTAGCTAACTCTTATCAAGGTATAGCACTTAAAATAACTTTTTTACTAACTACATATTTATGTCAAGTTCTTAGTTGTAATTAAAATTTATGAGCATTAAAAATATTTCAATATGTAGTCTGAAAATTTTGTATACAGGTACAAAATTTGTCTTCCATTATTTAAGTCCAATAAGTGTTCATTAGATGAATAAACAAAAAAAAAACACTGGTGCATTACCAAAGAATACAATTTTCAAGGGTATTTCAATGAAATGCTGTATACGTAAACATTACATGACATAACATTTGGATCATACAGCTGGCCTAATTGTGAAAAATTATACTTTTGTCCCATTACTGTGAATCTACAAGGAAGTGTGTGTATAAAGCTAAATGTTTCTACAAGTCCATTTACACTAAAATTATATATAATCAATATACAACTATATTAATAACTGATGTTTTGATGACTTTAAATAAAATGTATAATTTTGTAAGATGTGCTGTCATGTTAAATGTATTTAAATAAAAACAAATTTAGGGTAGTTTCCGCTTTTACATGAACATAGGATATAATGTGAACACCAGTACAACTGCTCATAGTTTTGAGAAACAACTGCAGTATGATAGCTACCGATATTCTAAAACTGGTTTTAAGTTAAAAATGTTATAAAACAAATATCTGTTTCATACATTTACATATTTATATACTTACACTAAACACCTACTAGTGTCATAAATGAGACTTAAAAGGTCTTTAAGCTCTACATGTTCAGGGTTATTTGGTTTGAGATAAAAATTTGGAGTTTGCAAATTGTGTTTTGTTTCTCTAATGTATTAGGCTTAATCATATTATTATTATCAAAACATGAGATGGTACATGTAAAATGTGATGTATTATGTATGTTGTAAAATTACTTGTGTGGTTTTATGAATTTCTCAGAGAGAATGAATAGATAAATGTATAACTAATATGAATTGAGTATGTTTCATTACCTAAAGTCTACATTTGCTAAAATTTTCCTTGGAGAGAGTAATGTTTCATACCATTGTATATACAAGTAAATTTCAATACAGATTTTTACAAAATTACATATCAAATATATGATTAGGTAGTATTACCCCCTGTAAAATGGGCTTCACTGCTATACTGTTTCTTCATACAGTTTTTGCAACATTATACATTTAAATGGGTGTCGAATGGAAATTTTATATGATATACACACTTAGTTTGCATTTTTCCTATTTTGCTGTTTTGTTTTAAACTAGATGAATGTTAGACAAAACAATTGAAATGTATTTAAGAGCTTTAAATACAAACACTAACTAATAATTTGTCATTAACTTCTTTAATTTATCAATTTTCTATTAATTTAAACTTTTAACTATATTTTGGTTACCTCTAACATACAGTGGTTTGTACACAAATTGAAGGCTCTAACTTTACTCATCTGAGAACCTTATTATACCTTTTGATTCCAATCAAGACATTAATATCACATTAATAACCCCCTTGTTCATTTCCTAATCTCTCTGAGTGTATAGTTATTTTGGTGATTAAATATCTCTTGTTTCTAAGTAATGAAACAGTTATTCACATTTATTGTAATTTCATTAGAGTGAAAAATACAGAATGATGTATTGTCATACCTGTACTATGTTTCCACATATATAAATTTTCCCACTTTTCATGACAGATGACTGATATGCTAATGTCTGTATCATCTCATTTATTCATGTTTGATATCTCTCAAAGGAATATATGTCAAACTAGTTAATAACATTGAGTGAGGGAGGAGACAAGGAAGAAATGCTGTTCAGCCTTGCTGAACCAGCAAAATTATGTATCCAACATATTTATAATTAGTGAAATAAAACATCACACCTAATGGTGATTAAAAATGCACTTTCATAATGAACTAAAATACAGTATGTGTTGGAACTTTAGTATAGACAGTGAATGATTTGTGCTGAAGTATAATGTTACTATTTTTTTTATTTATAGTCCAGTGACACAAAAGATGTCCTCAAATTGTACGCTTTAGTTAAATGCATACTGTAATATGCATATAGGAATTTATGAACTTGATGACTATAATTTACTTTAAAATTTATATGCATACAAGTGACTACAGATGTCCTAAGCTCAGTATACATTTTAAGAAATAAATGTCACCATAACTTTTATTTTCATACATATTCATGATGCTGTATGTATTTCTGAATATGTACAAAATTACTTAACATTCAACAGAAGTAACATTTTCCTTTGGAAGGTATAAGATGCCTGTAATATTTATAAAAATTGTGTAATAATATTAAAGAAACATATGTCACAATCTTTCTAAGTATATAAAGTTAATAATTAATGAATAAGTAATTAATGCTTCATTTGCTATAAAGGAAATGACCTATCTACATATGTGTCTTAGGGTTAGGTAGAAATGTATGTTGCCGTTAAAGACCCAAGCTTCTTCAGTTTCTCCAAGTCTAACTGCATGTAAATGATAGAAGTGAAAAGTTTTCACTAAAAACTAGAGAAGTCAGTAGATTTTTTTCATTATTTTTATTTGTCATTACAGCTTCTTACTCCAATAAAAACTACATGGCTAAAAACCTTGAACACAAGCAGCAAGTATATTTACTGAAGCAAATCTGAGCAAGCCTACTTACTATTACTAAAAATACATGTTCTTTACCATAAACAAAGCTCAAATGGAAAACAATGTATACACAAGAGTTCATCTATTTGGAAGTCAATGAAAAATTGCACTAGGTATATATAAAACACATGTATGACATCTTGAATTATTACTAATGTAACATTTCAGCATAGGAAACGACTAGCACATGCTAAAATTCAAACTTGTTTAAAGAACAATATTTTACTTCTGAGACAGATGTAGAAATGAAAAAACTTGTGTATAAAAAATAATAATAATAAACTACTACTTTGATCAACAAGTTTACTTACTGAATTACATTAACATAATCCTCAAACTTATAGTTACATTAACAACTATTTAGATGATAATGAAGTAACAGTGTAAAATAAATTAATCAAGATTAACATGTACACAACACATTTTAAACAAAAAATAACTTATAAAATACATATAAACATAGGTAAATGTGAAAGAACACAATGTTTTAGATGCTCTTACATGTTTGTGGAATATTATTAAACTTTGCTAAACAAATAAATATCAGTTACTTCCATGGACATATCAGCATCAAAAGAATGTGTAAAGACATAAAGTGTCTTATTCAGATTCAGTTAAAACGGAACACTTGTATTATGATAAAAAATAAATGTGAATCATGACAACAGGGAACACCTAGTTTAAAACGTTTAGTTACAAATATTAAACTGAAACTAATTAATATGTATTTTGACTTTTCTTCTTTATTATTCAACATATGAATTTTTCTCATGTACACTGAACTATATAATTATAAAAACTGTTTTAAGTACTACAAATCAAGTTTTCATATGTTTTTGCTAAAATAGTAATATTTTTAATAATCTAAAATTTCTTCACTTTGTTTTCCTTAGTTTCATAAATCATTGTCCAACTTACACTGATTTCCAACATGTATTTTTTCCAAACAGTTTGGTTGCTTTAATAGTGACCCCATTCCCCCCTAGTTAGTGTTTAGCAGAGAAACTAACTTTAATAATTTTATTTTTCATTAAAGGTAAAACATCTTGAACTATTGTGTTTCATTTATTCTTTACAACCTACAGTCAACAATTTTTTTTTGCCTTTTTAGAACTACCTCAGGTAATTATAATAATAATTAGGAAGTACATGGAAACTTATATGAAAGCAATTTTAACAGTGAATAATGTCTGTAAACATTATAAACAAAGAATAAATACATAATGCTTTAATAAGTGTATGATCTTATTTTTTGCCTCTTTTAAAAGAACATTTTTTACTAGATTGTGCAAATGTTTTTGCTAATTGTATTAAAAGAAAATCAGAAATGTGAAAGAAAAAACATTAAATAGAATATTATCAAGAACAAAATTAATCATAATGCCATCCAGCTATGACAATTCTACCAAGCAAGTACTATAGTTAAATTCTCTCTTTCTCAAAAAATAACACTAAAAAACTGCAATATTACATAATCTCTTTAAAAATAACTATGAAACAGATTAATTTGCCATTTAGACAGTTAAATTAGATGTAGAGAAAGAGTACTGATAAAACAGAAATCTCTATAACTTGCTTTTGCATAATAAAAAAATCAAGTAAAGGAATTAAATATATTCAGCAGTTTTTATTATTTTGATGCAGTGTTCTAACAAAATCTGGTGACATGCTACTTAATGAATATTCTTTAGAAAAACATATACAAGCAGACTTTCGAATTTATATCCTGTGCAAAGACAGTCTTCAAATACTACTTGTATAACTTAGCTTCTAAAAAGTTGTAATTCAAAACAGTTTAGTGTTAGAGAAGCTTCAAGTACCTAAAACACAGCACTATGAGTATCACACTTGAATCAGGATTCTTTATAAGTTTATTTTTTCTCTGTGTCATAGCCTGTCTCAAAAATTCCATCCACTTGATCACTAATTAGGATAAGACTTATCATCTAAAAAACATTAACATAAAAACTCCAACAGTTTAAAGGAACAGGTAAATGCTTAAGAAGCTAATAATTTGAGGGTAATTACAGCAATTTTCTTGAGACATATTTTTTCCATCATTTCTAATATTTTATGGTGTTAAATATAAATGAAGATGTTAAAAATTAGGACTACTGATTAAGTCCTTAAACTACCAAATCACACAATTAGGTTTAAACCATGGCATTATATGTTAGGAATTAATTGAATTTCTATAATATAAAAGAAAATACAATGGTCCAGTATACTATTAACTACTTTTTCATCTATTGCACATGATAAATTTTACTGACAAGCATGACTTTTTTTATTTAAGGAAATAAGTTTATATGTACAATGAGGTTATCCAACAATAAAATAAAAATCACATTTCAAGTAATCTATGGCCACCTAATTAACCTTTAAACAGCCACAAAGATGCCTTTTAACAGTTTATATATTCAATGCTAATAAATATTTACTCATTTTCTTGGACTAAGATGTAAAAACCTTAAATTTTTAACTGTGCATAACAGCATTTTTAATATTAATCTACAGGTACAACCCTATACATGCATAAAAGTGTACAAGTGCCTTGAATTACAAAAATTCACTCAGACCTTAACTAACAACATTTAAAGCTCAAAATCTAAATTTTCAACATGTTGAAATACAAACATTCAAAAAATTCCAAACATCTCAACATGCTTTGATTACAATGAAAAGGTGAACATTTATCAATGTAACAATAAAAATATCAAATAACAGGAGTAAAATTTAATAGTACTGATAAAAAACATAATTAATTAGGCTTAACTATTCTATGCAGATCAAGTTTTATGCATCATTATGTAATCTTTAAACTTTTTTAAGGCTCTTATGAGTACAAGACTCAATGTTTAGACAGCCTTCAGAAATGCTTAAAATTTAGAAATTCAACAGCAACTATTCCTTTCAATTGAGAAGTTTTAATTCATATAAAATAAAATATCATATTGCAGGTATTTGGCTGTGAAATGTTATGAAATCAAGAACAAAAAGTTAAAAAATTCAGTACCACATTTTAGTTTATTATGCATATTCATGATGTACTTCCAAATTTGTTTGCTTCAAGATTAATGATCATATTGCATAATAAATATTTCAGCCAAATAAAAACTTAAAATAAAACAGGATAAAACACTTTTCTGATTACTCACAGTTATCTAGAAAAAGTCTATATTTTGAAACTTTCAGAATTAAAACTTAAATAAATACGTTGTGAGGTCAGGATTATTAATTTTATGAATACAGTGTATTAATAAGTAGGCTTTTCACAGATCTTGTACTTTCGACACTTGGAAGATAAACTGGACACAGATAGCTTGGGACCAGAATTAGTGCTATATGCTACAAAAATGAGTTTCCTTTAACATATGAATACTCCAGGATACAGAAATTAGGTTTTAGCTTTACCTATCATTTGTTATTTATTTCAATCCTCTATGATAAATAATAAACTAATCTAAGCTTCCTTTTCAACTCAATATACCACATTTGATCTCTACAACTAGTTTGACTTTAACTATACTTAAAATGTCAACATGATATTATGAATTAAACAAAATAAGGATGTTTACCCGTTTGTTTTAGCTAAGATGTTCAAGGCAAAATATGGTTTTCTTTGAATAAGACCATTCCAGGTAATTTTATGAATTTCTTTATTTCTATCAATCATTAATCCATAAAACTCTTATTGATTATGCTTTATTAATAAGTACTAATTGCTATGTAGCAACACTATAATGTGCATGCAAGTTATCAAAAATGCAATGAACAAAAATTGAAACCGACTTTCCAGACCAATGCTTAAAGACAAATTCTGCTTTCATACTGCTTTTTAATGCCCAATTTCTGATTTAATTCATCATATACAGTATTTTTGCTATGTTACATTACTCATATGTGCAATTTCTTAACTTTTTTTTTTGTTCTGGAAAGACTGTTAATGATCCCAAAAGGGTCCTGGTGCCTTCTGAAGCTTCTTGATCTAATACATTTATTTGGTGTTTTAACAGCAATGTTAAATTTGTATTATTGGACCTATGTAGATGGTTGGAAGAATACATCATTAAAAGCTGCTTTAAGATTAACGTTTTCAAAGCACAGGAAAACTTTATATACACTACTAATAAACATCAATTACAAAACGGGTATTCAAGTTTTATCTTTATTGTTCTTTAGAAAATGTTGAAATGAGCTTTCTTCAGGTTTACTCTTCGATGTTCATATGCCAGTCCATTCATTAATTAATATTCTCTTCATTTTCAATTTTTGTTTATCATATGGTGCCCAACTAAAAAAAGTTTTTTTTAATCTCTTAGTGTTTTTCAATGCAATAGTTATAAAGAAACGTCCATTTTTTTAATGTGGCTGTAAAATACAGTTTTTAAAACACATATCAGTCAATACAGAACAACACAAAAATATATATATATACAAAGTATTACTCAAGCTATAAAAAAAGTAAACTTAAACAATCGAAAGTATAGAATTTCAGACATAATGTAAAACATTGGAGAGGTACTAAAGCACAGGAGAACTGAGATCAGATTTTTTCTCTTTATCAGAAAACCTCAGATCCTATAATAAAATCTGTTGAGTACAATATTATTAAAAGCCATCTGCCATTCATGAGTGACTAATGTACTGTAACAAAACAAAGTACTATACAAAACCCTAACAGCTGCAAAACATGAGAGAAATATGTAACACCTAAAGTGAAAAATGATTATTAACACATCAGTGATAATCACCAAATATATTGCTAAAGATGTAACACACAAAATAATACAGACAAACATTATATACATAAATTCAGATTTTTTACTTAAAAAAATATGGAGTGTGAAAGTTAGAATTAAAAGAAATAGTGCAAAAATCACCTACATGCAGCTTGAATTACAAGTGCCTGGATCAACCAGTATACTATTAAAATTGCCTAGATGTATAAAACACATGCAGAACATGAATCTCTTATGGATATTAATTCTAATTATAATACAAGTTTCAGTCCTTTCCATACATCACAGTAAGTACCTATGAGTATCAAATAAGCATACAGTATATGTCAGAGCATTAAAAATATCATTAAAATAAACTTAGTTGCGAGTTTATTAGTAATTATTGTTTAAGCTTAAATATATATATATGTATGACCTACACATATAAATCCATACAAGTTAGTAACAACTGAAAAAATTAAAGTTTTGAAGAGTCCCATGAATTTATTCAAAACGATACATTTTAAATGCAGAATATTTTTAGCACCATAGCCAACATGGCAAAAAAGTGTGAAAAAAAAACCAAATCTATAAATGAACAACTTATCATAAATTATTATACACATTTCCTGTAAACCTCTAGTGTTACTGTAACTACTTCACAAACATGTACAGGATGGACCAAAAATAAGTGAAACAAAGTAAGGGGATGACTGTATAAATCCAAAAGCACAGTGTGACCTACAGGTATGGAAGAACATCACTTCGAGAATAAGAACTCATAAAATGCACGAGTCAATGCCCATTTATCTTAAATTCTTTGACTCATTATACATGTAGGTCCTTTTACAGTTTATAAACTAGATGAATTTTATTTCTTGTCTTTAAGATGTAATTTTTTACTTTTTTCTTCTGTACTTACAAAAAAAATAGTTGATAGAACATTTAGATGATACGAGTTTAATTATCCGATTATCAACATATAAGTCATACTTACGAAATTAAAGATTATTTCATACATACAAATGTATGTAAGAAAAAAAAAAAGGACAAAGGAGACCTAAGAAAACTGAGCAGATAATACAAGCCTGAATCTAAATCACATAATATTATAAGAGCTTTACATTTAATTTTAAAAAATAGTCTATGTTGTGATGTACAAAACTGTACTACTTGATGTTAAGCAACTTTCTACACTTGTACAATTAGATTTTACGAAATACTTGAACAAGTATGCTCATGCTTGCTAAAAATCTTAATTATTAGTAGTAGCCTAAACATCACAATTAACATGCATTGTTGCTTCTTTGACAATGGAAACTTGGTAAACTACATCAATATGTGAATAAATATTAACTTCTTAGTTGCTTGAGAATAATACAAAGATATGTATTTTTATTGTATTAATTACAATATTACATCAAACTAAGCATAGTAATCTTATTTCATTAACAAGTGGTACTTTACATCAATTTTTCTTCTAGCACACCAAGTTACTGAATCACCTCAAGTTGACAGATTCTTCAATAAACAGATATTTTATACTGTAACACCTATGCAAGCAACCTAATTTTCTATGTGAATGAGAGTGTAAATGTTTAAAGAAATGATAAGTAAAGAAGGTCTGCAAAAATATAGTGTATAACACAACCTTAAAACCAACAGTTTACTAGATGCATTGATTTAATACTTGCTAGTTAGTGTACACATAGAGTACACATATCCCTAAGACCAGTTTTCATTGAAGAAACAATAATGTCTCTTAGTTAAGTGTGCAGTGTGCTCTTAGGATCTAATATTAATCAAGATAAAAGAACAACAATGCTGTGAAACACAAAACAAAGTTAATCTATGAATAGTTAACACAAGTTAAGGATTTGAAAATGATTCACACATATAACTTCATATGGAATTTCTAGTGAATGACTAACAGATAACAAACTTTTAGTTTTAGAATAGATAGCAGCCCACAAAATCGTACTTTTTTTATTATATTGTGGAAGATACTGTCAAAATCAACTAGCAATTATGAATAATCTGATAAATTCTTTGGTTGAAAATTTCAGATTATCTAGTAAAATACATATTTTATAAAGGCAGAAATTATTTTATTTTTTAAGTAACACATTTTCTTCTGTTTTACATGCTATAGCATAAGTACACATAAGCATGATGAATTGAAACCATAAAACAAGGTATTACTCTGCATACTTTTGAGTATTATTAGCCTGTGAAAATAAAATTTACTTTCGGTATTACTCTGTGGTTACCTTACTCTTCCCATTTATTTCATCTTTACCCAAAGGTCTACTGTAATTCATTCCCACAACTGTGCGAGGAAACCAGCAATCTTTTATGTCCACAAAGTCAGAAATAATAATATTCAAGCTTTGCTTTCCTTTCAACCATTCTTGAAGAACTTCATGAGCAGAATCTACCAGAAGATCACGAAAATTAGAGCAAGGATGCCTCAAGGTGAAAGTGGCTGTTGGTGTAAGGACTCCTTGACTGACAACAAACTTTCTAAGAGGTTTCTCCTGCTTGTGCTGCTCCACCAAAAACTGCATTAGTTCACTACCCTTTACAGCCTTTGGGCAAGGACTGAGGATGAACTCTTTCTTCCAGAGGAATGGGTGGTAATTAGCAACATCATGCATATAAAATACCAAGACTTGGTACTGTTGATGCCACAGCCATGATAAAGTTAATTTCTCCATTTTTGGGACTACAGGACATACTTTGGATCCAAATATTTCTGTAATTTGCCGCAGAAGCCTATGATGGTCATCATTGGTCATTGCAAAAAGCTGCTGAAAGTGAAGCAATACTACCTCTTTGGGATGCAAATCAAGGAATTCTTTGATGCTGTCTAGCACAGTGGTCATGGAATCGCCATACAATCCATGAACAATGTATAAATCAGAACTTCCAGGTTTGGTTGCAACTTTGAAATCAAAATATCGAATCCCCATCTCCAGCTGTTCTTTACAGGTCAGATCTTGGGTCTTCATCCAACCACAGATTACTTTTTTAGCTGTTGAGCCCAGCAGTTGGACTGCACGAGACTTGGACAAGAAAAGTCCATCAGGAGCATAATCATCCAGTGCACTTACTGAGTAGCTGCCAGATTCATGAGAACCTAAGTTTAAGTAAAGAGAAAAAAGGAAAACTAAATGAGGTAAATTATAAAGGCCACAAGAAACATCTCTGATGCTCACTTCCAAGTATAGATACAAATTCATTTAGCATTTTGCAACATGTGGGGCACAGACATTTTCATCTATGCACAAAAATTGTAAGATAACCATCTATATCTATAATGTATACAGTATTCAATACTAACAGTGGTCCCTTGACTAGATCCATATGCATGTATCATGGATGACCACAAGGTTCACCTAGATGACCTCAAGTTAATGTCTATTTAAGTTATTTAAGTTAGAATACATGTAAATGCAGCTTAAAATATTCCAGACATTATTCTTTACTTATATGCTATATTTACAAGTAACAAATTTGACTATTGTAAAACTGGAACTAATACACCCTATTAAGTTATTCATGTATTGGATACAGGCCTGTAACTTTATTGATATTAGCTAATAACATCCTATTTTGAAATCAAACATTACAATGTTTTGATCTTACATACCTGCTCAGAGGTGTAACACTTATATGATCAAATAATTACATATATGTACACACATTTGTCCAGAATAAAGGGAAGGGCAGATGACCAATGTATGGATACATTCAAGACTGAATGCTGCTTTACATTAGACCTTCAGCATTTGATGGTTTTTTTTGTTTAGTTAATAAAGTACTTTCTCTTTTTTAAAAAAGATCAATTTTGGTTAACCCAAAGATATGGTACAACAGTGAGTTGAAATAGACTGCATATTAAAGAAAACATGGACACCTGCTGATACATCATAAACATTGTGGTAAAGTCAATCACAACAAGAAGTGAAATAAAGATGTAGGTAAACATTATTTCATAGATTAAAAGTAATGCAGCAATGCTGAAATACTACAGTTATCAATATTGAAATTCCCCATAGTAATGGAATTACTTTTAAACTCTTTGGTTAACAAGTAGATTAATATGTTTGTTATCTTTAGAAACAGCTCGTTGTATAATTACGAGAAAATTTACTTGTGTATGGTATTCATGTACAACACATTTGTCATTGATTAGGCCTAACAGTATTGCATAAGTTACTTGAATGAGTGATATTTCCCCTCAGTTATTTTGTTTCTGTCTTTTCGTATCATAATATTGTTGTTTTCTTCTAAAAGAAACACATGATCCTGCAATCAAGCAAAAACTTGAATAATGTTACATTTGTATCTTTTCTCACCAACTGATTTCCTTACTACAAGAACAGTAAATACTTTTTAAAAGTGCAGAAACAAATTAGTAGGATGATTCCTGACTTAAGTCATTTAAACTACAAATATTATATAGAGAGGCTTATAGTTTTGGTTTTCTGGAGTGTAAACGTATATAGATTTTATTCACATATTCAATACTATTAAGAGGAATGGATATTCTTATACATAGAAGAGTATTGGCATGAAAAGTATGTAAATACTAACTTGTTTACTTAAATACTTGAGATAATAATTTTAAGCTTTGAAAGCATATATGTATATTTAGATGCTGGCTTGACCTTCAACAGTTTTTACTTTTTTTATGAGGTCATAAAATCATTTGGCTGGTCTCTTGTTGTTTGTACCATTGCTTTTACAGTACTTCTCTAAAATTCCGTTGGATGGATGTGAATGGCAATATTTAAGAATGTTTAAAATTTTAAATATAAATTTTTGATATCAGTGTTTTATTATTATTATGTGTTGGATGAGGTGACCTCATTCGCCTGAAAGGATTTTTATCGACAGTTTTCTTATAATGCTATATACTGTTCTATCTTGTTTCAAAAAATAAAAATGAAATAAATGAAGTTGCGACGTTGCATACGTTAAAGCTATAGTACATAGAAACATTATGTCAAATAATAGGAGACATACTGCACAACACTCAATAGATAGTAAATTGTATGTTATTGCAAGTCCACTCTAATACTTCCACTTCTAAGTAGGATCTATGAATCAATTGATAAGATACTAACTGAAGCACGTGACCACTGAATTATATGTATATCTAATGGGTGGGGCTGTTAGTCTTGGTAAGTTAAGTTACAGCGGCGTTACCATGGCGGTAATGAAAACTGTGTTTCGTATAGGAGCAATACTTGTGAGATAAGCGTTTTATACTTACCTGGGATAGCAAGGCAATTCAGTGGTAAATTATGAATTATCTCCGGCAAGTCCTGCATCCACTGATTCAAAATCGGAGCATGATTTTGATTCTTGTGGTTGATATGTTCAATTTCAACGTCCGAATGAAGAAACACACCCTCGTAATTCTCATGTGACGCCATTTTCTGTTATATGTTTCACCTAGTGAACATATCATATACTAAAATAAATATAATAAGTTTAAATATATAAAAAATAAAAAATTTATAGTAATGGATATATTAGTCTGTTTCATGTACCTTCTTTATATTGAAACAATTATGCTCTTACACTTCTTACATTATATATTACATCACAAATTACATTTCATTATTCTAAATAATATTTATAAAAACGTATAATATTGAAATTGAATATTAAAAAGTTATTTCACTGCATTCACAGTTTTACTCTAATATAATTTGAGGGAACTCGACAGATTCAAATTCTCTTGCGTCTAAAAGTAAGAAGGTTTGTACGTATAAACATAAATTAAATACTTATGCATTCATAATTTAAATAATTTGTTATAAATCTACACATTAAGGAATCATTTGTGTAACATATATCATTTACATCGTTTAACATAAGAATTCAATCACTTAAACACAATTGCTAAAATAAATAAATATTGTTACGCCTCCGTTCGTTAGTTAATTTTCCGTAAAAATTCTTACCGAAGAAACTTTACCGATAAAAGTCCTTTCTTAAATAAAACTGGTCTATTCTTTCTGAATACAACTTTGCGATACACTTAATTTCAACAGTTGCTCTATAACAAACTCTATAATTCACAACGAACGTCTCATGTGCCCAACAATATTCTCTCTGTCTGCAGTTCAATAACTCAATACATTATTGCCGCACGTTGTGACCGTCTTGTATATAAATGAATACCGAGATCTAATAAACTCCCGATATTTCAGGAATGGACGTGAACGTTCGAGAAGCTTGGGGCGTGATACTAGCGTTACGTGACCCCGATGTCGTAACAATATATTTTTTGCCTATATAATACCAAAACGAATTAGAATAAAATTTTTGCATCAAACATCAGAAAAAACTAGATCACAAATAACTGTTTTTTTTTTTTTTCAGTTAACGTTAATTTGTGTTGTCAGTTTTATCTCCAATTTCTAATTGCATCGTAATGGTTGTAGTGAGTTTTTGGAACTTTGCATAAATATCTTTGTGTAATTTTGTGGAAATTTTTGAAATAAAGAAATAATCCGTTCAATATTTTGTCTGGTGGTTTCATCAAGGACACAGGTTATATATTGGATAACAATAAAGGAAAAATAAATCCTTTGGAGTAATATAAAATTTTGTTTAAAAAAAATATCACAAAACTCCAGTTAGCAATTTTTAAAAAAAATTTGAAAGAAACTCTTTAACTTCTCAAACTAGGTGAATGCAACAATAAGTCTAAGGAAAAAACAAACAAAATCTAATAAATGCTGAAAGGATTTTCTGCATTCGTTAAGTTAAGCCAGTAATTGATATTCTTCCAAATATCATTATATCTGAAAGAACATCTAAGGGGATATATTATTATTGCACAATTACAATAATTGAAAAAACTTGTAAAATCAGGAAGAAAAAGTTTTTTACCACGAATATGAGTATGCACGACTCTGTTGCTACGCCAGAATTCTAGAGATTTTTGAAAAGTATCTTTATCACTCCCCGTGATGAAAAGTGTAGTATTTATATCTGCATGTAAGCCAGAAATTTAGGTGGTTCTTTACCTTTTCTCACTGAAGAGAAAATGCCAAAATATCTTCGGTAATAACATACTTTAATTTCTGTCGTTATTATGGTTGTTTTACAAATGCCTTAAGATTTTTGGTTTGCTTTTCTACCATATTTATTATTTATATTAGTAAATACATTCACCACTTTTATACTTTAAACGGTGAAATTGTTTGAGAAGTAAGAGTCACTAAGGTTAACACTAGATGGCAATAAACGAACAAAGGTTTAGGAACTTTTTTGTAAAGGAAGGGATATTTCTATACTGTTAGAATTATTGTTATAATTAATGATTTTTTAGCCATAAGAGAAAAAAACTCACAATAAATTACTATAATATACTTTAACCTTAGCAATATATTTTGCAGCAACTGCTCTGCAACAAGCAAGAGTTATATGAATATCGTAAATCATATATTACGTACATCATTTATATATAGTATCATTATATTTTACTGCCGGTACATTTTAGCACAGTGAATAACTTTATTCTCAAAAATTAAAACAGTGACCAATAGGACGTAGGTACAAATAATTTTGTTCTCAAAATACAACATTTCCTCGCACAGAGAACAACTGTTATGTTAAACTTATATTAAAGTTTTTCTTCATTACCCATTTCAAGCCGTCTCCAAGCATTATTAGTTTCAAAGTGGGTTCCTTGTCATCGAAAGTGAACCATTTTATTCTCAAAAACTATCGCACTAAACTTGATTCAAAATAAAATTGAATAAATTGCTGGAAAAACAGAAAAAGGGAAAAAAAGGCTATCACTATATTGCAAATACTGCACTATTATTTATGATGTAATTTTCGTGTTAGAGGTTTTTTTCACATGATAATGGGTGCTTTTATAATAATCCGATAATATAATTCATATACATGCAGAAAACCTTAAAATTAAATAATTAATTGCTGCATCCCTTTGCCAGCAGTAAAATGCTCCGGCAGTCATTTACTATGGTAGTAAAATGCCGCGGTAGCCATATGCTGGCAAAGAATGTCGTAGAACCTATATATATATATATATATTGCGTTTGTCATCTATCATGAGTTTAACTTTTCTGACTTTTTAAAGTATTTGTCAGATGGAATCAGGATTAGACAACAATAACAAAACACTAAGTAGGCTTAGTAATTTTTCATAGTAATATTTTTTCACTTTCATAATTCATTTATTGTTATGGCTCAACAAATAAGTAGTTTATTTATTCAGTTTTTTGCTGTGTCGAGTTTTTGATTTATTTAAAACATTCATTTTAAATGGAAATAATGATGTATTTGTTACAATCCGTCACATATTCAATAAGGTCTAGTTCATTTTAATGTGTATGTATGTTATATGGAAATATGTTACTATTATGAATCTTATTATATAGCCATAATATGTATAATATAATGTGTTATTACACATTTTGCTTAGTACATGAGTTACCAAAGATTATATATAATTTTAATAATATAGTTCTAGTACTTTAACTGATTCCCACTTTTCCTATGTGCATACAGTTTGTTTGCTCTATCATTAAGACTAATGTGACCCACTTAGTTGTACACGGTAATCGTGGTAATGATTATTTTTAGTTTTTCGGACTTAATTGCAAAACCAAATGTTTGAGAGTTACAACGTTTATCCAGTTATTTTGTTGGACATTTGTCTAATGGTTTTATATCATTCCTCTCTTATAATTTATAATTATAAAAGCTGTTCGTCTGAGATATGAGATTTGTTAGAAGGTTTATGTACATTTAAGTTTATCCAAAAAAGCGATTGAATAAAATATTTATTTCTTTGAAAAAATCTCTATCAAATTAAAAGCCAGGCAAACAATTAAATAGAAAAAATAGATAAGCATATAAAAATAAAAGAAAATATAACTATATGGATTATTTTGAAGTATAGATGAATTTGTTATAAACATTTAAAATGAAAATATTAAGTATGAATAATTATTAATGTTTTAGTTAAAGCTATTCGCGAGTTTTTTACGAAGGTGGCCGGCACTCATACATGTTCATTTCTTCGTGTAAAGAGCGCTTTTATTATACCTGGTGTTGGTTCTGTTACACTGAAGAAGCCCCCCCCCCTCCCCAGTGGCATAGCAGCATGTCTGATGACTTACAACTCTAGAAACTGGGTTTCGATACCCATGGTGGGCGGAGCACAAATAGCCCATCGTGTAGCTTTGTGTTTAACTACAAATAAACAAACACTGAAGCAGCTGACAAACATATTCGCAGTAGTGTGTGTGTATTTTATAGTAAAGCCACATCAGGCTATCTGCTGTGTCCATCAAGGGGAACAAGGGGAATCGAGCCGTAGACTTACCGTTGTTCGACCGGTGGACCACAGCAGAGAAATAAGACGAATGATTAATTTATCTCGGACCTTTTCCTATGGCTGCAATTTAAGAGTTATATATGCGAATTAAAACCAAAACTTGGTGATATAAAATAATATTAAGTAAGAGAAATTGAAATTATTTTCAGCTAGTTTGAATTACTTAGTTGGCGCTCACATAAAACCTAAGCAGTTTTAACATAACAGCAGTCTTGGATAAAATCAAGAGCTAAATTATGAATAATGGAATAAAAGGAAATAATTTAATTGCTATGCATCGACAGAAACAATTTACTTAATTCAAGTTACACTTAATTTGCAAAGGATCTTATTTAATTCCAATGTTGTTTTTCTTCACATACTAGTGAAAAAAATTACAATCACCGAGGAAGATATTCAACACAAACTAATGAATAGACAGGTCAAGTTAACGTGTAAATGACTTATAACACGAATGAAGAAATACAAATACTGTGGGTAATTTAGTTAAATTTTTAACGTGTAAGTTTTGTTAATAAAGTTTGAATATCAATACAAATGGCATGGGGTAAATAAATATGTATGATTAGAAATATGAAATTGTTACGATAAATGAAATATTTAGAATATAATGCTGTTCCAGTGCCGCTATACATGAAAATGAGCTCGCTACAATGAAAACATTCATAGCTTACTCAGGCTACAAATACTTGGTAAGTTATAAATATATATTGTATATACGCATTGCATAGCTACCCACCTTATGGTGTTTACCCAGGTGATGCGTGTCTGTTTTGTAGCTGCTTTGTTTCTTTTCTTTGTTCTTTGTAATATTACAATTAAATATACTCGCATATGAATAGCAATACATTTAGCCACCCCAATGGCAAAGCGGTAAGTCTGAAGGCTTATAACGCTAAAAAACGGGTTTCGATACCTGTTGTGAGTACATCACAGATTGTCTATTGTATAGCTTTGTGCTTAATAAAATACAAACATTAGATTTTTTTGGACCCGTGTTGATGATTCACTGTGAGAAACCTACAATTCATCACACAATTCTGTTGCTTTATAACAAGGACTCTTAGAATTTTTAGTGGCTGGCAGGTTGTTGGTGATAGCTAGGATACATAGAACACAATTGACCCTGTTGAAAACATTATACTCATAATGTTTAATGAACGTAACTTCAACCGTTATAATGATGTTATGCTATGGATTAATTTTAGTTCCGATTTTTGCATGAGGAATATCTATAAGTATGGCCTATAAGAGATACTAAAAAGTAAAATAGAATCTGGTCGTAACTATGCGAGGAAGAGGAGAGAAAGAAAATATACTTTATAGAATAGCGTTCAACGGTTCTATCTTTATGTCATGTAGAAACTGATTTTCACTAAAAAAGAAGTAAAAAACAACATATTTATTTACTGTTTTTACTATTCAAAAACTTCTAGTGTTGAAATGCTATATATATTTTGTGTTTCTTAGTTGCTGTTCTCCTACTATGCTTAAACCTTCTACTAATCAACATCTGTATGTGCGTATTTATCTATGGTAGACATTCATAAAGTTACGTGAGTCAAAATGTACAAGTTGAATGAACAAAGCACCTACGTCCAATAAACTTTGGCTGTTTGTTTTGTTTATGGCAAAGCTACTAAGGCTATCTGTAACAGCACCAAATTTAAACAGCCGACTAAAGAGAATGCAACACACACCTTCTGCTTTTAGGCTAATCTTTTACCAACAAATAGTGGGATTCACTGTGAAATTAGAATGCCATCACTGCTGAAAAAGCGAGCATGATCGGCGAGACGAGTGCCAAGCCATGTCTTCTTCAGTACAACAGAATATACCAGATTAAAATGTAACTTAAGTATAACTAGAAAATACGTAACGAAAATTTTGTCATTAATATGTTGTACAAAATTAGATTTGGAAGTTTCCTTCAGTGGGTACAAAATACTGTATAAAAAGGTAGACAAAGAAATAACGTGCGGTATTTGTGAAAACATAGAAAGATATATTCTCTAAAATTACAGTGGGAGAAAAGGTGCAGAGTATAACTCAGTTAAATACTATTTCGTTTCCTTCTTGTCATACAAACTAGTACAAAAACAATATAGGAAACGTGGAAAACTGACCACTACTGTGCCTATAGTAGTAAAGACAGAAATCAGCATCTTGTGAAGTTGCCAACAGGCCAGAAAACATCATAGGTTTTACTGTATTTGTCATACTGCCAAGTTTGCAAGTCATAACATAACAGATGGACAATAAAAGACCATTTAGTCCTTGTGCACCTACACTTGAAACAAATAAGTATTTAAACTCACCCATTATTTTTCAGAAATCATCAATCCCCTTCTTAAACTTCTGTAAGGTGCTAGTATCCACTACTGGCAACAGAAACTCATTCTGTAAGCCAACCAAACTGTTAGACAAATAAAACTGCAGTAATTGGAGGCTATCCTGTATTTTCAAAATATCTTCAGAATATAGTACAAAGAAATCAGACATGTTTGTTTTATCAATCTCCCGAATAACCTTGTAACCCTCAACAAGATCACATCTTACATTTCTTTTCTCAAGAGAAAATAAGGTGAAATATCTTGACTTACCCATATAAGACAACCCTTTCATCCCTGGTATCATACTGGTATTCTTCCTCTATACCCCATATAAGACAACCCTTTCATCCCTGGTATCATACTGGTATTCTTCCTCTATACCCTTTCTATTAAGTAAGTATCCTTTCTTAGGACTTCATTAGTAACAATATCTAGGCCTCCTATGCAGTCACCCTATGATTCAATCAACTAATCTTTCCTCAACCAGTGTGATTTTTATAGTTAAACTTTTATGTGGCACTTTATCAAAAGCTTTTGCAAAATCTAAGTATACCAAGTCCATATTTTTTCCATCGCACAGCTAATAAGTAGCATCCCCGAAATAAGATGACAGATTAGTAAGGTAAAACACAGAACTATGTCCTTCCCTCCATCTTTCTTACACTCAGAACTGGATCTCATTGCTGGCAACATCCCTTGATGTTCAGCCATGATGATTATTTTTTTAGGCATTTACCTTCTGTGTTTATGTGATGATAAGTGCTTGTTATGCTACCTGGTTCTAAAAACACATAAACGAAGCCCACTAACAATTCATTGAGCTTCTGCCACTGTTAAGGATTACCCGTGAAATACAAACCTCATGGCCTCAAATGAGTGGAAGCTCAGATAATGTTGAATGTGAAGAAACATGATCCCGGTTACTAGACTAATACCTGTTAGTTCTGCTTCAGTTAGCCTTCCTGTGACTATTTCATGTGGTAACTGAATAGCTGACTATCTCAATTACAATATGACACTAGCACTTAACTAGTGCACACAGTAAGCTCTGTACAGAAAACAGTAACTTTCATGTACTTAATATCACTTCTATTACACTTTTTATCCAAATAAATTTTGAAAATATAATTAGAATAATATTAATTGATTATATTTGTACGTTTGAGCTGTGAGAGTGTATTTGGAGGGATCTCTGTGTTCCAAGACATAAAGTTTACAGTATTTGATAATCACTGGTGAATTAACTTCTGTCTTTTGTGTAAAGAGAAACGAACATTGTCCACTCTTGGCAGAGAACATATACTTTATTATATTTCTGGGCAAACTTAAGTAAGTTAGCTACTTCTGATGCAGCAAGGGTAACTAAGGGCTGTGTAGAGTAACAGCAGGTGCCAGCCACAAAATATGTAACTCTTTGATAAACTTCATGGAATTAGTACACATCTAAGAACAATGTTAAGATCAAGGGGCAAAGATTATGTCAACTAATTTTGTACTACTATTAATGAAATGATGTGTAAGAATTTGAAGGATAGCATTTTTTTTTCTCCCGGATTTGCTCATATATCATTTCACCTGCAGGTGGTTACATTTTTACATCGATGAAAATGATGAATTTCCATGGCATGCATACCTAGTATTGATGAAATTAACTCTTGCTTTGATAGTGCACAGAAGGGAATTTTACTCATTTTTGGTAGTGAGTGCAATTATTATCCACCCTCAAAACAATGTTAAATATGTTATTTACTCCCCATATGACAAGATAACAGGAGATTGTGTGAAACAATGGTTTGCAACCAACAAGGCCCGGCATGGTCAGGTGGTTAGGGCGCTCGATTCGCAATCTGCGGGTCGCGGGTTCGAATCCCAGTGACACCAAACATGCTCGCCCTTTCAGCCGTGAGGGCATTATATGTGACGGTCAATCCCACTATTCGTTGGTAAAAAGAGTAGCCCAAGAGTTGGCGGTGGGTGGTGATGACTAGCTGCCTTCCCCCTAGTCTTACACTGCTAAATTAGGGACGGCTAACGCAGACAGCCCTCGTGTAGCTTTGCGCAAAATTCATAACAAACAAGCAACCAACAAACATATAAATCTCTGATAAAAACCACTTACACAAATAAGTTTGCTGAGAAAAAAGGTGTCTTGCAGGGTTGCTTGTAGTAACATTGAATAAGCTCCTGCGTGATGGAAGCTGTTATGTTTGTGATTTCCTACTACTGAGCATGCATGTCATCACTACAATAAACTTGATTTTCATAGCGAGAAAAGTTATCATTTGCTACTCAGGGCAAATTAGAAGTGTTTGTGTGTTTGTCAACAATATTTTCCGAAAATGGCTGAATGGATTTGGACGAAAGTTGATATACATTTGGAGTATGACCAAACTTAGAAGTATAATAATGGCTGGAGACGGCTTAAATGGGTAATAAAGAAAAACTTTAATATAAGTTTAACATGACAGCAAATGTACAACGTTTCGACAAGGTTTTGTCATCATCATGTTTTTTTTACATGAACATTTAGATCATGTGTTCATGTTGAAAATACCCAATACAACGTGTTCCCTGCCAAATCCCCAAGTCTGTATTAATGTTAGTGTTGTTTGACCAGGAATACCCCATATTCACAGTAAAGATTGGGTTTATGTTAGGTAAGTGTGTAGAATGTTTAATGACGAATAAAGCTAAAATATGGTCAAAATTACAGACACTCTTTAAAGTATTTGTTACTATTTACGTAGTACATAACTAAAGTCACACACTGACCGGTTACATTATGCACATTGTAGAACGCTTCTTTTATATGCATATAGGAAATAGACTAATAATGTAATACAGGATGTGATGGCTTAAGCCCTGTAAATATACAGACGTAATCATATCCTGGCTAGTCTAAGAAAAAAGGGGTAAGAACAGAGATATATGTCTTCGACTTTTCAAGCGGTATGATAGTGGGTTCTCTGTTTAGCAGGGATATCTTTTTCAAAGACCATATCTTTTATCAGCTTTTTAAACTGTCTGTCATAAAATAATCCACCAATAAGGACAATTGAAACTAAATATTCTTGCCACAAAGAAAATCGGTGGATGTGAAATAATGGTGATAACCTAAGACTTTTTCAACAGATCGATTTTTTGATAATGGGCAGGATTCAATTACCTCCTACCTTATCATGCAAAAAACCTTACAAAAGTTGTTATATAGCAGCTATCATCTAACCCCCCAAACCAAATGAAACTGTGTATAATGAATGACTGGAAGAGTGGGATGTTATCTGGTGAGTTGCATTTCCTTATTTTCTGTATTGATGGTAGAGCAAAACTATACATAAAACCTCAAGAGGCACATAATACTGCTTGTGTTAAACAAACAGTTCAAGCTTGATAGAAGTAGAATAGTAGTTTGAGAACGTTCTACTGGGATTGGTGAAGTTCTGTGATTCATGGACAGAAGCTAATAATATCCAGTTTAACAACCGCTGTTGCCCGTCATATACACCCCTACAAAGCTGCATTTACATCCCAGTTGAAAGATTTTTTCATGAGCATAGCAATACTTAAACCATGGCTAGAACGTTGGGATAAACGTGAACGTCTTATTCTTTACCAAAACCCTCTCCTAACGTAGGTGAACCAAGTGTAGAGTATGCTTTACCTAAATTTTATAATTTTTCTATGTCGTAAAATTAGCTTTTTTTTTCTTTAGACAAACTTTATATCTTAACTTGGATGGTATGGAAACCTTAATAACAATAAAAACTTATTTTATTAGTTGCCCACTACGAGTATCGAAACCCGGATTTTAGTATTGTAAGTCCGCAGACATACTTCTGCGCCACTGGGGGGCCTTATAAATAAGAAGGATAGGATAGATTTTGTTATGGTTGAGCTGGAAATATTAACACCAACAACAATTACCGTAACTACGCACTTATAGTGCGCACTTTTGTTTCCAAAAGTTTTGGGCACAAATATGAAATGCACACTATACGAGGGAAAAGTATTCTTCCAGTATTTATCAGTTGAAATTTCAAGTCCGAATATTGCATCAACCATCTTATATTCTGATGACATCATCATCTGTAACTGTCGGATCACCAAAAGTGAAAAAAAAAACATAAAAAGAACCCCAACGGAGAGGAATAAACAAAAGATTGAACTGCTGACATTTATCTTTTAGGCTTGAAGTTATATATGTATAACGGGTTCATTTTGTCAGCCTTAAGAACTGCACGGTTTATATGCAGATTGAATTCATATATATGTATAACGGGTTCATTTTGACAGCCTTAAGAACTGCACGGTTTATATACTGATTGAAGTCATATATGTATAACGGGTTCATTTTGACAGCCTTAAGAACTGCACAATGTATATGCTGTGTGAAGTTATATATGTATAACGGGTTCATTTTCACAACCTTAAGAACTGCACGGTTTATATACTGATTGAAGTCATATATGTATAACGGGTTCATTTTGACAGCCTTAAGAACTGCACAATGTACATGCTGTGTGAAGTTATATATGTATAACGGGTTCATTTTCACAACCTTAAGAACTGCACGGTTTATATACTGATTGAACTCATATATGTATAACGGGTTCATTTTGACAGCCTTAAGAACTGCACGGTTTATATACTGATTGAACTCATATATGTATAACGGGTTCATTTTGACAGCCTTAAGAACTGTACAATGTATATGCTGTGTGAAGTTATATATGTATAACGGGTTCATTTTGACAGCCTTAAGAACTGCACGGTTTATATACTGATTGAAGTCATATATGTATAACGGGTTCATTTTGACAGCCTTAAGAACTGCACAATGCATATGCTGTGTGAAGTCATATATGTACAACGGGTTCATTTTGACAGCCTTAAGAACTGCACAATGTATATGCTGTGTGAAGTTATATATGTACAACGGGTTCATTTTGTCAATATTATTTTACTATCCTATGCTACACCTCATTCCCAGTAACATTCAATCGTAGCCACTCTCTTATGTGGGTAGTTAGGGTATGTCATAAAACAATATATATATCAATAATGATACGAAAAACAATACGCAAATAAAAGGAACTAGAATTTGAGACTTTTGATGCACGTGGGCTCAACGACCCGATCAGAGACGTCCAGAGATCAGTTATAGCCACCCCTAGGTATGAGCTACTGGTTTGAGGGAAGGCAACCAACCAGCAACATCCGCCACCACGAGGGCTTTGTCTGTCTTTTTGATTAAACTAATAACAGGATTGACTAACACTTGTATAATATACCAATAAGTGAAAGTAATGATGCTGTCTAATGTCATCACGTATCGAACCCTGTATCTCATAATCCACAGCCCGACATGATAATCACTAGACCACGTCCTGCCCCCCCCCAAAAAAAATGTACCAAAATAAAGTAGCTGATGGACAGTGTTTAATACCAATGGTCACATCAGTAAATACAACTTTGAACAGTGGGTGAAAAAACATTTTAATGTAATTATTGAAAAGTGATGAATTTACCAGTGTGTTTGTTTGGTTTCGTATATCAAGTAATGGCGTATTTGCATGCTTAATAACAACTGTGATCATTAGAGTGATTGCAAAAATTTATCTGCGTTCAGTTGCTCTAATATTCAAAATTCATGTGATACAAAACTAGAATGAGTTTCAGAAATAACCCATATCACACACAAACACACACACACACATATATGTATATACCATATATACACGATAATACGTTTTTCAAAACTTTAGGACTGCTTTACGAAGTACCATTTATTTTAATCTACCTATTGTGCATACTTTCGAAACGTATGTTAAACGTTGAGTTAATCTCTGCTTATAGATGAATATACACAACGTGTTGACTTATATCAATAACATTTCACCAACTAGTCCGTTTTAGTATCAATACTTTGTCGTAAACAAGATGATTACCATGGAGTCCACCTGAATCAACGTCAACCGGACGTTGGCTGTACTGTTGTCAGCATATATCAATAACGTTTCACCAACTAGACTGTTTTAGTGTCATTTCTTTTCCATAAACTAGCTGATGACTATGGAATCCACCTGAATCAACTTTCGTGTTATTGAACTGCTTGTGCACCATCGAATACAGCTTTTCGTAACTAAACTGATTTCGAAACAAATTGACTCACGCAGTTTATTTTTCATTTACAGTTTTAGAATATCCCACGAAATGATTGAAATATTTTTTTTCTCTTATAAATATTATTACAGTTCGTTTTCATTCTCCGAGTACGATATTTATACCGGCAAATACTTAACACTTCTGGTGAAACTGTTTCTAGATCAACTGGGCCCGGCATGGCCAGGTGGTTAGGGCGCTCGAGTCGTAATCTGCGATTCGCGGGTTCGAATCCCCGTCACACCAAACATGCTCGCCCTTTTCAGCCGTGGGGAGTTATAATGTGGCGGTCAATCCAATTCGTTGGTAAAATAGTAGTCTAAGAGTTGGCGGTGATGACTAGCTGCCTTCCCTCTAGTCTTACACTGCTAAATTAGGGACGTCTAGCTCGTGTAGCTTTGCGCGAAATTCATGACAAACAAACTAGGTCAACTGTTATGATATGAGAACAAATTAATTGTTTTGAATTTTAAACACACATGTATATCACCTTAGTGGTGTCACAACATAGTGAGAATGAATATATCACTTGATATTACCATCACTGGTTACACAGATTCACACATGCATTTAAAAATGTCATGTTTAAGAACTTACATTTAAGGCAGTAAGTTTGCTAATGTCTTTTAAATAGTGATTTTGTTAAATGAAAGGAAAGTTTTCACTAAATGAGAGATCAAAGTTCAACTTTCGGTCATTTTAAATATAAAAAGAATAGTTGTAATTCCATGAATAGTCTAACGGAACAAACAGAAATATTTAAACAGCAACACATCAGTAAAAAGTAAACATTGAATAAGGTAAATTAATAATGAAAAAAGACTTGAAATCTTCCTCACTGTATAATTTAAAACTTAATTTTAACTACATATTTAATAAAAGCACGATAATATTAAGCTTGCATGACTGTTTAGCCCCTCGTAAATGAAATATTTGTGATTTTGGAAGATTAATTTTCGTCTTGTTGAAATAGCAAACACAGCTGCAGGACAACTCATATCCGGTATACCTATGTATATAACATTAAATAATAAGGAAGTATAATGTCTCAGTTTTCTAAAATTGGTGTGACTCAAATGTTGACTGTAAAAAATACAGATAAAATAAAATAAAATGTCTGTATTAGACGTGTGGACACGTTATAAAATGGAGTATGCAACGGATTACGGAGCATAAGAGGAGATACACTTCCGAAAGCAAACAGGCAATTCGGTAGGTGTATTGTTAAGAAGATTACCGCCTTGCTAAAATGCAGCGTTTGTTGAAGAGAAGTCTTGCAGTTTTAGTTTTATTCACAGCGCTCTGGGCTGTAAATGGTAAGTAACCAGGTTATCTAGCCAAAATAGTCGAACAAAGATAACTGATCACACTCAGATATTTTAAAGAATCAAGAAATTAAAAATGTCAGTGTCTTGATGTTTATACTGGACATTCATTTTAATCCTCAATGAGTAGGCGTAAGGTTTTCCATAATTAAAAAAAAAATGTTTTTTTTATAATATCTTATATAGCATAAAACTCTATAATCTTTTATTATGGAAAGATTCTTTTTATATTTAATCCCAGTTTCACAAATGTCTTGGAAGATAGAGCAAATGCTCTCATTCTCTGTTTCCCTATGAAAATCTTACGGAATCTACAAATAATTTCTGAACTTATGCTTTCACGACCACTTTCTCAGTATATAATATTGACTGTGATTTTATAGTGAACTTGGTTTCAGACTCTTTTCAACAACTCAATGTCCTTCAAGAACAAAAGTTAACATGGTAATATATGAAATATTTTCATTGAATGTTGTGTTGTGTAATTTCCTTGCCATTTTCAAAATCGTAAACATTTTGGTCAATCGATCATAAACAGTTTAGATGAAGGTTTGTTTATAATATTAAGCCTCATCTTTCTGCATGCAGCAACTTACAATTTTTGTATTTTCCAATTTTTGCTGTTTCCACATTTCTCCGCCATCTTGCTAGTAAAACAGGACTTGAGACATAATTTACACGGCAATATTAAATTGATGGTTCCAATAGCTACATCCGTTATCTAAGAGGAGATCGTTTCAGGACAGAAGTTTCATTGAACACGAGTAAAATACTAAATTATTGCTAACAAGTCTATACTAAAATTTATTATCAGATTCACGAACATAGTATTGTACTTAAAAAAAACAACAAATTACCAGAAGTATACTTTAAAAATACCTTTTGTTGCAGACGGTGGTCGAAGATTTAGATGGAGACATCGAGCTAGACATTTTGAACGGAAGAATCTAACCTGTATTGCTGACGATGTGCCGTCTGTCGTAAGATTTTATTTATAGCGTTCAAGAATTAGGGTTACTTAAACATGTTGAAACAGCTCTTACGATTTGTTATCATTTTCTGGCATTGTTTTTTAATTAGACCTGTTTATATTCTTCTGATGAACGATAATTAGGACTAGATGGTGATCCTGGAGTCTGAACAAAACTTAAAAGAACGTTTTATGTAACTAAGAGTTTTAAATTTCTTTATTTTTACAGACAATGGTTTCTTGTTTTCTTTAACGTTTCTATGTACACAGGCCAGTGTCTAGTGAGGACGAATGTTTCATACCATAACATTGTTCCTACTCTCCCCAGTTTCATGCTCGTACTAAGAAAATGGCTAAAGACAAAACTAGAGAGGAAAACGTTTTATGACATTAAAGTATCTACTCTCTTACCGAGGAATGGACTGGTGAAGACGAAATTTCTTGTTACTACATGCTGACATCTACCTTCTGTATAATTACAGCAAGACTTCCTGAAAAGGACGATGTTTTATGACACCACAGTTTCTCGTCTAGTTTTACAAGTCACTGTTTTAAAAAGTAACTGTATGGAAGAGAAAATTATGTGATACTGCTTCCTTTTATATAGTTTCTCTAGATTTGTTTTATAGGCAGACCACTTAGTGAAAGCCTGACCAGAATAAACCATTATCACAACTACAACCTCTTGTGTGATGTATTTTTGTTCTTCCGCTTATGTTCTACTTATTTCAATTGTCCCCAGTGGCTCAGCGGTACTTCTCTGGACTTAAAATGCTCAAAAACGGGTTTCGATACCCATTGTTGGCACAAGACAAATAGCACATTGTGTAGTTTTGTGCTTAAAAACAAACAAACCAAATTAATTTAAATTCTCTCGATCAATTTTATTGGTTCTTGTAGATCTAAATCTATAGTGTATAATTGTCACTATTAAAAATGCAATACGTGTGCAAGTTTGTAGTATAAGAATGTATACAGTTTCACTTTCCTTTTCTCTAGTTGGAAGCTTCTTTCACAAATTGCACGGCTAACCAACCAAGTTTTGTAAGCCTTTCTTCTTTTCTACAGGTAATAACAACTTTATTCTAAGTCGATTATATATTTTATCATTATCAAAATAGAAAAAGGTTTTTCCGTATAATTTTATTTTACTTTACATTAATATAACGTGTAACACTTACAGTAATTATTCGTTGTCATTTTGTGCTTTATAAGTGTAAAACGTAATAATTTCGGAATCTTGTTTGTACTTAATACCTTCGCATGCTATCTTTCCTATTTTAGATTTTCGAATGTGTTTTCAAGGACTTTGGATTGGTAAGAACTTTTTTATGACTACATTTTTTCCATGTAAGGCTTGTCTCAAACTGACCAGTTGCTAAAGTTGTATTTAATTCACAACAATAAACTTAAAGAAACAGAATTATATTTTGAAATCAAACTTTACTAATCGTGTGTCAATCAACTTAATAAACTTAGAAGAAGTTTATAATTTTCGTTTTAAGACAACTCTAAAAAATACGGTTTGTGATCGTTTTCAGGTGGCTGATCACAAGATTCTTCCAAATTTGTGTTAGATGCTCATATTTAGCTCTGTTCAAAAAATATTTACGACATACATATATTTGTCTTCTCATATAAGGTGTACACAAGTCATGAAAATCCTAGAAAGTCGTGTAATTTCTTTCAAAATTTCTCAGTACTGGAAATCCTGGAAATCAACGTTTACCTATGCACCAGAATCTTCAATCGAACAGATGTTATGTGACTAACGTTGGAATCGTATTTTTGACTTAAGATAAATAAACTCAAGCCTCGTTTAGCGGAAATTTAAAATCATAAAATTGTTGATAGGAAAAAAAGAATATTTACATTTCTGAATTTTCCTAATTATATCTTTATCATAAACACTTTAAAAATAAGTAACAACATTTGTAGTTTAAGTTCTTAATCAGCTCTTGCCTAAAATTCGATAATTAAAAGTAAAGAGTTTGTTTGTTTGTTGAATTTCGCTCAAAGTCACTCGAGGTTGATTTGATAGTTCTGTTGTATAAGTTATCTTCTTGCAGTTGGATCAGAATGGGATTATCATTGATGGAGCACTTGGCAGCTTATCCGGAAGTGATGTAAGTTAGTTTATCTTTCTATTAGAAACGTTTTTAAAGTGAGAGTTGAAAACGAATTTGAATCGCCAGGTTGATTAATGATTTTATATAGTGATTTCTACATGAGTTAGGGACAGGTAAAAGTCGCTTGGCCCACTGACAAGTCTGGGGATTTATAACACTCAAACTTGAGTTTCAATACCTGCGGTTGGCAGAGCTCAGAAAGCTCATTGTGCAGCTTTGTGCTTAACAATAACAAGTCTTTTCCAGTTTTATATAATTTAATTACAAAACACAGATCCATTCAACAACAATTAATAAATGATTAGGATAACTTTATGTCCTTGTGGACAAAAATTACCCCATTCTTTGTAGAATTCTTGATAAAAAGTTTTTGTTCGACCAAGTTCAGTTCAAATGTATCAAACGTTTTAATTTGTGAGTGGCTTTTCTAGATATATTGAGTTGACTCTCGATCGTGCCTTGCACATAAATTAATTATAACTTTCGATAGTTTTACGATTTGGTACTCAGAAAATACACCTCGCAAGCATTATCAGGATCTGATAATAAATATTAAAATCATGGTAATACCAAAAAACATCTTTAATACGGTCATTTTGGCATTTCTTTAAATTTCGTCATTAGCGTTAATATCTAAAAAAAATAGTTCATAACATTCGAACTGCAAAAAACTACATTAGCATTGAGCGAGTTTTCGTATTCAATCGGAAGTTTCGTTTGTTTGGTTTTTAGAGCAATGTCATATTGGGAAATCTGCTGTGTCCACCGCGGGGAATCGACTCCCACGGGTTCTAGGTACGTAGACTTACTACACAGGTTAAGGGTTCTTTTTGTGAAATACTTTGCAAATAAAAAACTAAAGTCGAAGTCGAAGCCAATCAGAACTTTAGAAATAACAGATTGAATACGAAAACTCGCTCAATGCTAATGTTGTTTTTAGTAGTTCGAATATTATGCACTATTTTTTTTTTTTAGATATTAACGCTGATGATGGAATTTAAAGAAATTTCGAAACGTCTGTATTAATGATTTTTTTTGGTATTCCTGTGTTTTAAATATTTATTATAAAATTCGTTTTCCATCTGATGAATCATATCTGAAACAATATACAAAGAAATCCTAATAATTCAGTTGCTGAACAAACGTAAGTATTACCGGCTGTTAATTATTATTAGTTACTAGCCGCAATCCGCAAAACATTTGCGGTAGTTTTCATGCACTTCGCTTGAATTTTCCTTATTCTATCATTTTAACGCACGCCATTTAAGCTACGTCTTTTTGTGTTAGCTCGATAAACCTTAGTTTATTTGAAAAAAATACGCGATCAGACAAACAAACTCATGTGGACGTAATGTTATTTAATAAAACTACACGTAAAGTAGACAATAAAGTAAAGTAATATTATATATAATAGTGTACAGTGTATGAAACAGTTATAAACGTTTAGTGTATGACAAAGTTCTACAAGGTGAAACAAAGAAACTCACAAAAATGAAGAATAAAATTCGTAGTAAGGAAAAAGTAGCTAAAAGGAGTTCATAGCAGTCTATGAAGTGAACAGAAGCTAAAGTATTGCAAAGTAAAGTAAATGTAAAGTTGTAATGAAGGCAGACTTAGCTGAATATGCAGAAACGTCTGAATGCGTGTTCACAAAGTGATAAGCATATGGTTTTGAACGAACTGCGCATGCGTATTTTAGAACTAAATAAGTCGAAAAAGACCATAGAAATTGTATTTATTGTAATGTTCTGTTTTTTAGAATATTACACACTGGTTAAGGGTTCTTTTTGTGAAATACTTTGCAAATAAAAAACTAAAGTCAAAGTCGAAGCCCAAAGTCACGTGATGACAACGACATTGTACCATCGTACAATGCTCGTTGCATTGAAAAGTCTGGCTAAGCAAAAAGACAGGTGAGGTGATTCTGAATTGAAAAGCCAATATGCAATCCAGACTCTTCGAACAAAAGCCTTTCTAAAGATATGATATTTGTAGCGTTTGATCGAGAAATTTGCGAGAAAAGTTCTGGACAGATAAACGCAAGTGTATTATTTATACTCAGACACGGAATTTCCTGTTAACATGCCTTTTCTACTTGTTTAAGTTTATAGAACAATAAAAACGCCTATATATACACATTCTGTTAATATTTTTCATTTTACTAATTTAACCTGTGTCTGTCTATTGTTTACATAGTGACAGAAAATATTAATATTTTTTTCCAGTTAAACGCCACTCTCACTTTTGTCCTGAATAACGTGATTGGTAAGGTGAGTGTGTGATTTGATGTCTCATCAAAACAAGCATAAAAGCCGACCTAATTTTCTAACCGAACAAAATGTAAGAAACATTTCATTATTTGTAACCTTGGTAATAAACCATATAGTGTGGCATACTCGTGTACATTGGAGTTCAAGAGGTAAGTTTAACATCGGACATAGCTAATTCTCCCAGAGTGCATTAAAAACTTTTGTCACTTGGTCACTCCCATCAAGATAAAAATGGAAGACATTCTACATTTTTACACAATTAATTAGCTCCAAGTAGCTCAGATGTATTTGGATTTGTGACGCTAAAAATCAGGTTTCGATACCCATGGTGGGCATAGTATATCTAGCCCATTGTGTAGCTTTGTGCTTAAGAAGAAACAAACAAAAACAATATTCGAAACAAACGAAATTCAATATAATTTGTTGCAAATTACAATACAAATTAACCATCGCAAAAAAACAACTTTAATAACGGATTTAACAAAAGTCATTGTTTTATTTAAAATAATTATTTTCATTTAGTGTTATTGTTCGAAAAACTATCATGATTTCTGATTAACATGTATATACGAGTGAAATTTAAGCGGTTTGCAGCAATACAGGCTGATGAATTTAGAAGCGGTATTGAGTTATGAAATATGTTTTTGTGCCAATTATGTAACATTACGATGTAAATGTCTTCATTTTGTCTCCACTTATATATTTCATTCACTTTGAGATATATTACACAAAATTTGTACTAATATGCATCTCTTCTGTCCAACTTGTACTGTCTTTGTATTATTCTATATAAGTAAGAAAACGCTTTTTGTTTTGATTTCTTCATAAGATAAAATAAAATTTAAAACAAGTTATTTTGCAGTTGAAATGTTTTTATTAATATATTTGTTGAATTGTTTACAATAGCAGATCTCTGATTTTTAACGTTTAGTGCTACGACAAGATGATAAAAACGTCTAACAAACGCTTCGGCTAAGCATTGGCACACGGGGCCCGTGCTCCGATTCTGTTTGATGCTGCCCCGAATCCATTTGCTGCTCTTGAAAAATCAAAATAGAAAATCATGATCGATATCATACTGAAACGCCGAAAATTCCCGCAAGTTCTGGGCCCAAGCCACGAATCTTTTATGCACTTAGCTGCGCCTCTAAAGTCTAATGACTTTGATTTAAAAATATTTTGAATATTTATTTTGTTAAATGATATTCAAAAGTTTGTTTAAATTGTACATATTAGCATATTGTTAAATTATAGACAAACTTCAAAACATCATTAGATTATCAGATTTTATTAGAATCACATACAATAAATCAGTAAAGGAATCCAGTAGATTATATTGTAGAACTACTCGTTAATATTAGTTAAAGAAAATTAAAGGATATATATAGATCGAGATTAAATCTGATTGATCCAAATGACACGAATAAACTGTTGTAAAGAAAACAAAAAATTCTAAGGTTAATTTCAATAATCTACTCTTTTCTCTTTACCTACAGGGTTGTGATATTTTGCAGACGGAAAACAGAAGAAGGTCGAAGTGGAGATTTGGGGGTCGCAGAAGAGGCTGGGGTTTTGATGGCTTCACGTTTGGGAAGCGCAAATAAATAAATAATTAACAAGAAGTGACAAAAATGTTAAGGTATGTAGCTAGGAACTCATTTTAGTTTTTATGGATCATCATTTAGTAATGTGTACAGTACAAAAAAAACCAAGGAAATTTTCCCAGGCCTTCATACAGCCTGGGAAATTCATTTTAGTTTTTATGGATCATAATTTAGTAATGCGTACAGTACAGGCTGTATGAAGGCCTGGGAAATTTTCCTTGATTTTTTTTTGTAAAGTCTTTATGAATCCCGATACGTTTTTCTGATAATTTTACTTCTCTGAGAAACATATACGTTTTTTGTTACTTCTCTGGGAAACATGTAGGTTTTTTTTTAAGTTTCCACAAGTATATGTTTGTGTTTCTAATAATAAAAAAGTATAATGTTCATGAAATTAGGGAAAAAATAACTTGTGTTTCGGGGGTGTTGTATATGTTTGCATGCATGTATCTATTTAAATATTGGTTGATGATGTAAAAGTGTGCTATCTAATCTTTCATAAAGCTGGTTGAGTAAATGGTGCATTAACACACAAAAAACTGTCACTTACACCTAAGGTCAGTGACGTTTATTAATCTTCTTTAAGTAATTCAGGCAGGAATTGAAACGTATATACATACATATTTATATGGCATTTCGCAAGTTGGATCTAATACATGTTAGTAATGATTGAGAGATGAGCCATATATTCAATCTTATTGAGTTATTGATAAGTTTCCATAAAACCAACACCCTTTCTCGAAGCTCAAGAAACAGAAATATCAGGGAAGCAGTACTCTTACAATCCGTTCTCAGGGAGGAAGAAGGTTAAAAAATGCAGAAGAGACTGAAAGCGTAGAGAAACAGGGTCATTTTTTTATCAAGTACATCATTGATGTACTAATAATGGAACTTATTTTAGCTGCTTTTTCTGATACGTATGCGTTCCATTGTTCTATCGGAAAGCATTTATTCATTGACACTCAACTTGTCGATTTTTATGTTTACACGTATATATATATATATATTTCTTTTTCAAAAACAGGCCCACTTCACCCAGCTGAGTACCTCTATTTTATTTTATTTTTTTAGAATTTCATCCCTAGGTTACATCTTTTGACACTCGCAGCGACAGGATTTCATTTAACGCATGTAGCGACGTGGTTTCATTATTTAACTCATGCATTTAGCAAGTGAGATTCATCATCTTACGCCTTCAGCAATATAGATTGTTTACTGCATGTAACGATGGAGTTCCTTGGTTTCTCGAGAAGATTAAGGGAGCTAAGCTTGGGTGGATATAACCTGCTATGTCCTAAGCCTCACTGTGAACTTTGAAATGAAATAAATGATTAATAAACTATGTTATTAAATCACCAATATATTACAAAACTACCGTTACCTCAATTTTTGTTTCAGGCAATTTGAAATAAACCAGTCAAGAAATAGATTATGTGTTCTTGTTAATGATTATTGTTCTCTGATAAACAGTGTATCCTATCGCTTGTTCATTGATAGTGTCTTCCATGTTTTTCTTTGATAGATGGCATGTTCATTGATATAGAAATGTATCCTGTCACTTGTTCATTGATAGTGTTTTCCATCTTTTTTCTTTGATAGATGGTATGTTCATTGATATGGAAATGTATCCTGTCACTTGTTCGTTGAAAGATGATGCATTACTTCGTTTTTCCTTGATTAACGGTGTATTTTGTCTTTTTTTTCTCTTTCGTTGATAAATGTGTGTTCTTGTCTTTGTTGGTTTATAAATGGTTCATTCCCATCTTTATTAGTTAAAAGATGATATTCCCACTATTGTTCACTGATAGGTTGTATCTTCCCATCCTTGTTCGGTGAGACACGTTGTGTCCTGATCTTTTTCCATTGATAGGCTGTTTCTTCTAAACTTTGTTCAGTGAGACGAGTTGTGTCCTGATTTTTGTTCATTGATTGATCTCGTGTCTTTGTCTTCGTTTATCGATAGCCAACGTATTCCCTCTTTGACAGATAATGTATCGTGTCTTATGTCTTTTGATAGATGGTTTATCATTTCAGATGGTATATCTCGTCCCTTGTTCATTGGTAAATGATGTATTCTATCTCTTTGTTCACAGATGGTGTATTCCGTCTCTTGTTAGTTGACAGATGGTGTATCTCGTCTCTTGTTAGTTGACAGATGGTGTATCTCGTCTCTTGTTTATCGACAGATAGTGTACCTCGTCTTTTGTTAGTTGACAGATGGTGTATCTCATCTCTTGTATGTCGACAAATGGTGTACCTCGTCTCTTGATAGTTGATAGATGGTGCGTTTCTCTCTCTTGTTAGTTAACTGACGGTGTATTTCGTCTTGCGTTAGTTGACAGATGGTGTATCTCGTCTGTTGCTAGTTGACAAATGGTGTATTTCGTCTCTTGTTTGTTGACAGATGGTGTATTTCTGTCTCTGTTCATTGAGAGATAGCGTTTACTATTTCCTTCTCCGTTGTAGATGGTGTATTATGTTTCTTGTTCGTTGATAGATAATATATTTGTTCGCGTTTTTCTTCAATAATATATAATTTCTATCGTCATTTGTTTGTAACGGTATATCCTATCTCTAGGACATCGGTGTAGATGATGTATTATATATACTTCAGGGGTTTTCAATGAGCATTTCTTCTGAGAAGAAAATACTTCGTTTGGTGACTGATGTGGTGCGATGCATTCGAATAAGCAAACGAAGTGTATCTATAAACACGATTTTGTTGTATTTCCTTAGGTTTGTTTACTAGTATGTCTAAAATGGTAGAGTTTTAAGGGTAGCTATCCTTTTCATACCCAATGTTATCTGGAAATAAAACTTTCAAATGTGCAAAAAATCTAGAGGCTGGAATGATTTGGCTTAGAGTGAAGCTTCTACTCTGCCCTGTGGAAGGAAAACTCCTCACCAGTTGAGTGATAGATGGTGTATCCCGCTTATGCTTTCTTGATAGATGGTGTATCCCATCTTTGTTCAATGATATGCAATGTATCACGTCTCATATTTATTGACAGATGGTGTATCCTGTCTTTTGCTTGTTGATAGACAGTATATCGTGTCTTTGTTTGTTCAATAGCGGGATAATAACCATATGTGGTTCCAAAGTATAGACCTTGATTTTTTCTCAACAATGGAACCCTAATCTTAGACTCTTACATCTACAGTCCAGCACGTTAACAACTTGATCACATCTGGTCCAATTTTGAGAAAAATCGTTCTTGTAAATTTTTTGTAGCAGTAAAATAATTTTCTAATAACCATATGAATAGGAACTGCTTCTCTAACTATCAAAACATTGACGATTATGTGATTAGTGTTATAATTACTTTCAAACAATATATATATACATATATATATAAGCAAAAAAAATATTTGTGTCTGTTTGTCCGTTATCTAACTACTCATAGGTTGCTGGGCCAATCTCAACCAAACTTTGTGGGATGATAGTTTGTAACAAGGCCATGTTGATGGGTTGTTCACAACCCCTCCACCCATGGTATTGTTGTTATTAACGTTACGTTAACCACATTCATAGTTGTTGCCTCGTTCTTACACCAAACAAAAAAATATATTGAATTTTGTAGAACAACATACACACAGTGTGTGTGTGTGTGTGGGCACACAAACGTCTTATATATCTCAGAGAGTGATTTAGCACTCTCAATGGAGGAATGATATAAAAATGGCCGCCACTATTGCAATAATACATAAAATTAAATGAAGTTGATACGACAACAGCTACCATAACGCTGATATGAAGAGCTGTTTCTTGAGTTATACCCACTTTGTACTTTGACCCGTGACCTAATAGCTTTATACCGTAAGACACTTCCGCGGCTAATGACCGTCAATTAATTAATAATGTGGGAAAAGGTGAAAAGAGCTGGGTGTTGAAAGCGAGAGCACCCCTACCGCTGCTACTTTGGCCGTTACCTCTTTGTATAAAGTCACTCTGACCATCGCACAGAGTATATCATGCTAAGTATATACATAGTGAGTTCTTAAAGCTTATACAAAACTTTGGGGGAAGTAATAGTGCATAGTGTAATAATAAATTATGTTACAAATAAATTGTGTGAAAGTTAGGATTTTTGTGTTATTTATCATAGCATTCATTCCCACATTTTTTAAAGTTCATAATCCGGACAAAGAACGGGTACCTCAGCTTGTATATAAAGTGGATATTTTTAGTTCCACAAGAAGTAATTATTATTATTTTCTTTTAGCATCTTGGACCAGTAAAAGTTAAAACTCGGTCGTTAAAGGCAACGGTATATTATAAACTGCACAGGACCTTCCAGGGACTTCACTTTGACCGTGCAGCTAAGCCACGATCTAAATAATACGTCTTATGATAATATTTATTAGAGCTCCTAGTTCACAAATTGTTTATCATCGTGACATAAAACAATACTGTCTCACTGCAAAACCCTGTATAAATGTATAACAATAAAATCTGATAATGCATTGCAAGTGTTTTATTTGTTCATCATTTCAATCCAGACAAAACAAAACAGCATTCTCAGAACGATGCCCAAAACAAAAGTAAAACCTCTTCCACTGTAGGGACTGAAAAAACAACAACAACAAAACAAAACTGAATCGCACTGTGGGTTAAATCGAGTAAACGGCAGGCGTTGATTTGAAGGTCTAGCTAAAGTTGTTCTTTCGTTTCTGTATTATGGAAATGGTTACTACGCGTATCAGGATAATTAGGATTAGTTTTAAAATCTCGGGTGTGTTTAATTCAAAAATCGTGAGTCGATTGTACAAAAATCGTAACTTTTAGTAGCAACTTTGAGCATGAGAAACTCCGCATGAAAAGGTTTTCATATAAAATTTGGATCCAGTCTCTTGCTTCGAAAAACGCTATGAAGCTTCGAAAATGTTGTTTTAATTTTGATAAAATGTCTTCACATTTTGACCTTCATTTACACTGTAAGAATGGTTTTCAACATGTTCATGACATCTACGACACCTTATGCACTAAGTATAACTGTTCTTCATCTATTTCTTATGATTTTTGTTGGTTGAGGTCTGAACAATCATATCTAAGTGTGTCAACCACTGAATGACTTAAGACAGTGAAAACTGTTATAATGAGAGGAACAAATAATTGTGTTCTTATTTTCACATGGTCTGGTGGTACGGTACTCGATCCGCAGATTGCGGGTTTGAATCCCCGTCACACCAAACATGCTAGCCCTTTCAGCCCTGGAGGCGTTATAATGTGACGGTCAGTCCCACTATTCGTCGGAAAGAGAGTAGCCCAAGAGATGGCGGTGGGTGGTGTTGACTAGCTGCCTTCCCTCTAGTCTATCACTGATAGATTAGGGACGGCGAGCGCAGATAGCCCTCGTGTAACTTTGCGCGAAATTCTAAACAAACAAAAACAAACTTCCCTTCCTTTCTTCCTCACAGTTTTCTTGTTATCTTTTGATTAGATTTTAAAATTTGCAGATGACCTCTTATTCTGATCACTTTAACAAGAAAACCCCCATAGTGATTGCGTCCCCAACGTTTTTGCATTTCCTGCAGACGTCACAACTTCCAACCTTGAAAATGCAACTTCAAGGTAAACAGGACTCTCAGTATATATGTTGACTAGTTTAGCACTGAAACAGGTCTATTGGTAAATTACTTTGCAAAAGGCAATGGACTTTTACAGTAATATTGACACAAACAGGGGAAGAACGAATGAAAAATTAGATGAAAAGCAGCTAGTCAACACCATCCACCGCCAACTCTTGCGCTACTCCTTTACCAACGAATAGTGGGATCAACCGTCACATTATAACACCCCCGCGGTAGAAAGGGCGAGAATGTTCTGTTATAACCATCACTTTTCATTATCTTTTGTGAAATCTAAATATCAATGAATTTATGAAAATACATGAATGAACAGTTATTTATAAAAACGATTATTGTTAACCTTAGATTTTTGTCACACAATTTAACTAAATCATATTTCATATTGAAATAAGTCAGTATTTTCTTAAAATCGTTATTGGTATCGATTAACAAGTGGAAAAATTGGATGACGAGTTATAGTGCTGATAAATAACTCAAACATATTTAAAAAAAGTTTTGTTTGCTTCAGAATTGAAGGGATGTAAATCTTAATGTGTTAAATAACTTACATCAATGATGTGTTTGAGAAATGTAAGTTATGTAATAGGTAAGTAATAAGAAAATAAAATTGGAGCTTCGGAGGAAATGCAAATAATGTATAATTAAATCAGACACGACCAAAAGAAAGGAGTCTAATACAGTTAACCCTAATTACAAAAAAAAGAACCTTATTCACAAATAAATATAAAAAAGGATGGCTGTAATGTCAAAAAGGGGATCCTTAAATTATGGTTGTTTATTCACAAATACAGCAAATGGGGAATATATCATTTTATATGGCTAAAGCAAGATCTCCCGCAGTGGATTCTTGTTTGAAATACCTGTTTTGCTCGAATTACATTCATGGTCAAGTTATGCTAATAATTCCAAAAAGGCTTCACCAAAACACTCACCAGGAGACAATTTTCATCATCAGAAAAGATGAAATTTATGCACATGCCCACGGCACCAGATATTATGACAAAGAAATTGATTATATTTTTTGGGTATTTACTACATACAGACGAAGACACTCCTGCACTAGTAGTGTCTGTGTGAAAGAGCTTCAAAGATGATGTATATCCTTTCTATATAGAGTGTCTGTGTACAAATATCTAGTACAATATTTTGGAAAAATTCGCTGAAGACGTATGAATACAGATACTCTTTCTTCTTAAGTTATTAAATGATTAAAGCCATAATATTTGGTATAATATTCACGTTTTAAAACTCGTACACACGAAATTATGATTAACATAAAAACTTTGTCCAATCAAATCTATTATACAGAATATTTCCCATTAATGAATCATGTTTACAGTAGAGATTTAAAAAAGTTTCACATAATTCAAGGACTGTTTCTGGTTAGTTTCAACTTAGAGCCATTAAGTAAATAACCAGATCTTCGAAGATGTGTACGATGCTTTTTTATTCATCTTGCTCTTTGATTAAAAATGAATCCTAGTTTTATATCATTACACTGCACCTTTCACTTTGAGTTCTACAACTATACCTACAATATGCAAATAACTGTCTTTATATCTGTCATTATATACCTGCTGTCATTATATATTGGTTGTCAAATAACTGTCTTTATATCTGTCGTTATATATCTGCTGTCAATAATAGCTGTCATTATATATCTGCTTTCCAATAGCTGTCATTATATATATATGCTGTCAATAATAGCCATCATTATATACCGGCTGTCAAATAATTGTCATTATATCTGTCGTTATATATCTGCTGTCAAATAGCCATTCCTTGTTGCTGAAGGTATCAAATTTTGCTACTCTTTTATTTAAGTAATTATAAATTTTAAAAACCAATATATAATGACAGATACTATGGCAACTATTTGACAGCAGATATATAATGACAACTATTTGACAGCAGATATATAATGACAGCTGTTTGACAGCAGATATATAATTATAGCTGTTTGACAACAGATATATAATGACAGCTATTTAACAGCGGATATACAGTGACAGCTATTTGACAGCAGATATACAAAGACAGCTATTTGACAGCAGATATATAATGACAGAAATAATGACAGCTACTTGACAGCAGATATATAATGATTCTGGATTATTTTGATAAGATTGTTTTACTGGTTCATAACTGAATATTATTGGTGGTTAATGAGCAGCTCATATCTTCTATACGCATTTTAGACTTAATGAGGATCATGACGTTGGCTGCCGATAGGTGCCGTTACTTGGCACATATATTCATTGAAATGAAACAAGATCGCGGCTCGCGTAGAAAGTATGCCAAGTGCAAGTGAAACCGAAGAACGCTACCAGTGAGTCACCAAACGTAAATATTTGCTTTGCTTAAATTTACGTTCAAGAGACAGATAAGTACCATCAAACGAGTTTGAAAAGACTGAAGGAAGAGTTGCTAAGATGGAATTTCAGACTTTTCCGAAGATAAAGGCTAATCAATAGGTAGGTGTAGGTGGGTAATACTGATATCGAGTTCTGTAAGCCTAATAAGTCATATGTTATTCCAGAGTTGTTAAGAATAGTCTTATACACCTATGTGAATGTGTGCTTACAACATGGATAGTGTTACACAGCACCAGAACTGTAAGACTCGTAAGAACTCGTAGAACACTGATTTAAATGTTTTGTATTACCTTGAATATTTAAGCTCCTAGGTCACTGAGGGAAACTGCTAGACAATAACATTTGTTTCGATAGAGATATATGTGTTATATATATATATATATATATATATGTTCT